ATAAAGATAGACATAAAGGTAGACATAAAGGTAGACACAAAGGTAGACATAAAGATAGACACAATGGTAGACATAAAAGTAGGCATAAAGGTGAACATAAAAAGTAGTAAATAAATAACATAAATGTAGACATAAAGGTAGACAAAAGATAAAGGTGAAGGTAGACATAAATGTAGATACAAAGGTAGACATAAAGGTAGACATGAAGGTAGACATAAATGTAGATACAAAGGTACACAAAGGCAAAACATAAAGATAGACATAAAAGGACAGACATAAAGGTAGACATAAAGGTAGACATAAAGTTAGACATAAAGGTAGACATAAAGGTGAACTTATAAAGATAGACACAAAGGTAGACATAAAGAGACATAAAGGTAGACATAAAGGTGGACATAAAGGTGAACATAAAAGCAGACATAAAGGTAGATATAAAGCAGACACAAAGGGACATATAGTAGGTAGACATAAAGGTAGACATATAGGTAGACATAAAGGTAGACATAAAGGTGGACATAAAGGTAGACATAAAGGTAGACATAAAGTTAGACATAAAAGTAGACATAAAGGTAGACATAAAGGTAGACATAAACATCAACACTGCGTAATGGAAGAGACCAGAAATTATAGAACGCCGTATAAGACTATTTACGGCGGTTTCTCGTCACTGTTTATATCCTCCACACAATATTTGAGGATGAATGTTGCTACGTCGTCAATTATGCAATCAAATTGAAAAAGTATGAAGAAATGGTTGATAACTTCTAGCCGTCAAAGGATGGTACAGAAAGCCAGAAATATGTCATCCTCTCATTTAACTAGAACAAGAGCCTCTTGTGTTGAACTAATATTCACAAAATCACAGCAGCCTCTAAAAGAGATCTTTAACTTATTTTTAATAAGGAAACGTGCTGCACGTCAAAGATTTGTGCAAGCATATTTCTCTCTATGGGTTTCCGTAGAAATTACTCCAAAGCTAGTTACTACATATGTATTCCTCATTTATCACCAGTAATAACATCTTTCATTTCTAGTTTCACTCTTTGCATGTCTTAATTTTTATGATAATGTTTCTGCTTTGTTGCGCAATATCATAAGCTCGAAAATCTCGTATAATCTTGCTTCGAGACCATTATTGGTAAATTTTATTTTTGCATTAATTACTACAAAATAGGAATAGTAAGTTAAATTGGTCATTTATCTGCAACGAACTCTTTGGTCTCTTGAAAAGACACAACCTGTCGAGGCTGCAAAGTGGAGGTTCAAACCCTGTCTGGAATAAGATGTAGGCTATAACACGAGCTAAGAAACAGGAATATAGTGCTGCTCAATAGTACGAAGATAGCATTTCTATTTATAAAGTTTTCAAGAATGGTTTCCGACACTATAATTTCAGAAAAAACTCGCTCTCCGCTAAGGAACAAGAAGAAGGAGGGAGGAGAGCGAAGGAAAAAAGATACGATCCCATGCAAAAAACTACTCTTAAAAAACTAAGTGTTTTGATCATTATTTTTATGACTCGCTATGATCGTAGGGAGATATTATTGTAAGTTTTAATAGTCAGGAATTTAAGAGCAAACAGAACGCTATAATTTTCCTCTTCTTACCTCCAGACATTCGTTCCTCAGTTCGACTTTCTGTCGTCCACATCCGCCTCGTACACCTAAGTGGTGCGAAACAAGGATCTTGTGCACAGGAGGTCAGTGATGGCAAGTCAAGCTAAGTACTCAACATCGAAAGCATTCAGTTTTTTGGCGTATTTAATCCTTTTTTTAAGTTTTAAGAGGAAGAAAACGAATCGGTCAGAACCGGAGACGGTGTAATCCTTAAATCCGTAACTGTACCACTCAGTATTCAAAATATTTTAACTCGAAAAATGACAAAGTGAAAAGGACAAGATTTGAAACCAAAAGGTGTGATCACTGCACCGGCAACTGTACCGCTTGGCCAGACGAGAAACATGCAAACCTTGTCACAACATGTCAAGTGGTCCAGAAAGCAACATTCATTGCCTTCCATTATCTAATGTTCACAAAATATAGTATGTTTCATTAATGTTTTTTACCATGATTGCAAAGGAAAAAAAAAGAGATTTACTTGGCGTCTCTGTCGAACTATAACTTTGCTAGACATTCATGACATCCATAATTTCAAGGAGGAAGATGAATAAAGTATATACAATGTCAGCCATTGCCATGTGGTGAATGATAGAGCAATAACGCGCATGTTCGTAGTCAATTTAATGGCGTTGCGAATCATTTAAATTGTCTGTTTAAACTTACCAAAAATATTTTTTACCATCATGACAGTCAACACTTTTTTACGGGGGAATTGATGCTTCAGCGCTTACTTATGTCAGTTTGCAAAGCCATATGACTCGATAAAATATCGTTCACTTTTTTGTGGTAAGAAATCAAACTTATGTTTAAAAGCAACGTGGTCAATTTGGGACTAATTTTATCCAGTTACGTTGCGCTTCGAAACTGAAAATATTTTGTTCAGCAAAACGTGTTTAGTATTTTACTAGTGGCTTTGGTAATTTAATAGTTTGCCGTTGGGGATAATTCAACTTGCTTATTGTACGACATTTTCAATTGTCGTCTCATGTCTTCTCTTATGAAATGATGACGTTTTGAAATGTCGTTCATGTCGTGTCTAATGACTTTATTGACTATATTTGACAATACACAACATACATTTCGTGATTGTTTAAGAAACAAGTACATGACGTTTGCAAAAGTATTAAACACGTCTTTTTTGCTAAAAAATTCATGTCATAATGTCATCATGTTATCATGTAATCTTGTAATTATGCAGTCATTTTGGTCAAAAACGACATTTGAAAAAGCTCTATAAGGGTTAACATTTAACAGAAAGTCATCATTTTATAGAAGTTGTCTTTGCAACGTTCTTTGTTTTCTCTTTATGACTACCCTTACGTCTACCTTTATATGTCTACCTTAGTGTCTACCTGTGTCTACCTTTATGTGTACCTTTATGTGTACCTTTATATGTCTACCTTTACATGTCTACCTTGTGTCTACCTGTGTCTACCTTAGTGTCTACCTTTATGTGTACCTTTATGTGTACCTTTATATGTCTACCTTTACATGTCTACCTTGTGTCTACCTGTGTCTACCTTAGTGTCTACCTTTATGTGTACCTTTATGTGTACCTTTATATGTCTACCTTTACATGTCTACCTTAGTGTCTACCTTTATGTGTACCTTTATGTCGACCTTTATGTCTACCTTTATGTCGACCTTTATGTCTTACTTTATGTCTACCTTTACATGTCTACCTTAGTGTCTACCTTTATGTGTACCTTTATGTGTACCTTTATGTGTACCTTATGTGCACCTTTATGTGTACCTTTACATGTCTACCTTAGTGTCTACCTTTATGTGTACCTTTATGTCTACCTTTACATGTCTACCTTGGTGTCTACCTTTATGTGTACCTTTATGTGTACCTTTATGTCTACCTTAGTGTCTACCTGTGTCAACCTTTATGACTACCTTTATGTGTACCTTTATGTCTACCTTTATGTCTAGCTTTACGTCTACCTTTTTGTTCACTATTGTTGATATATTTTTCTCTAATTTTACGTCTACCTTCATATTTCGACCTTTACGACTTACTTTATGACGAACTTTGTGTCTAACTTTCTGTTACTTTGTAAGTTTATGTCAACTTTGTGTTAACTTTTTGTCGATCCTTGCGCCTACTTTGTTTAATTTTTTGTTTAATGTACCATTCCTTCTTTGTGGTATATGTGATAAAATTGACAGTTAAAGGTCTCGAACTAAGATTATAGAAGAATTTTGAATGAGAGATAGTGCAGCACGTCAAAAATATATAATTATAAAAATAAGGCGTAAAAAATCTATAAAGATTGAATACGTAGTACAAGTCTGGTCATTGAGCTGCAATTTTTACATTGAGAATGACACATTTTTGGATTCACATTGTAACATGTTCAAGCAGCTAAGCAATTGTTCATTTTCCGAAAGAATTTCGGAAGTTGTTGAACAAATCATATGCTGATGTATAAGGAGCATCTTCACGTAATGTCATCTGTAGCATTGTCCGCCGTTAAACTAGCTAATGGACCTTTGTATAGGCGATACATTTCTTTGTCGTTCAGACGTTGAGGACCATTGTTTAGAAATAACGTAAATATTTCAACAGTCATACTACCCATTTGAATGACATGATTGATGATGCCAAGAACTTGTGAAATGATCAACCATATGTTCACACTTTTTTCTTTTGCATACCATATTTCACGTTAGTCTTTATTTCTTCAATGTGGCCATGACATATTAAGACTGATCCGAACCCCAAGCTTTTCCTTAACATAACCTGTCCTGTGACTGTTGTTGTTGAGAGTATTTGTGGCAGTGTATTCTATATTTGTGATGGGAGCGATTTGAAAAAAACAGAGCCATTCAAAAGATGCAATCTTACATGAAAAAATAAAAAGACTCTATTCGTACGCGGTGTCTAAAAAAACACGCTGTTCACAGCAATATTTAAATCACACGATAGAGATTGTCTAAGGATTTGAGTTTTAAATACAATCTCTTTTCAGTACTAATCAGTAAGGCAGAGCTAAGTACTATAATATTCACAACCCTCAATTGGCGTTTTACATTAGCACGGTGCTTATACAACAATGTCAACAGTTTTCAAACATAATTACTGTAAATTTACCATTTTATTCTTTTTCAAAGTGTGGAAGATTATTTAATAGTTTATGCTTCATCGACATGTAACTTTAATATTTCGTCTATAACCATAGTAAGTTCTGTATATTTTAACTCTCCAAGCGATGTTTGAATGGAGAAACTTTGACTTGATGCCGTCAATCGTCCGTTCTTTAATCGTAGATATGATAAAGCGATCGCTTGCGCGCGAATTTGAGACGGTTCATTACAATTTCAACGACGCAGGAGTTTTTACAAAGCGGAACATTAATAAATGGACGGCTTGACAACTTTTAAAGTTCGAAACTTTCGTGTTTTTAAGTTTCAAAAAAACGCCCTGTGTTATTAAAATGTCTTCTATGGTTATTAAAATTTAGATTCAGTATTCTAATACCTGTAACTTATGCAACAAAAATAAAGCTGTAAAAAGAATCATTCATTATATCATGCATTCTTCTGTACTGAAGATGGCATAAGAGGGCCGAAACATGTTTACTTTACAAAAAAAATCGTTGTTCATTTGATATGTTTATTAAAATATATTTTATGAGTAGACATTCAGCCATTTTACTGCACCAGAGTGATCAGACAATCACAGTACAAAAAGTACACTTCAGAAATTCTTTTACAGAGTTTTCGTAAAATCGGTGTAAGTCATTCATTCGCCCCGAGGTAATGCCACTCCCCCAAATTTTCATTACAACTTATTATAAAATACTTCGAATGTTCAGATGAGAGAGAGGGAGTTGCTTCCGTTATTCTGCATGGGCACAAACTTCAAACGTTGTCAAACCTTTTGTACATTTTTTTCTCAAAATATTTAATCCAAATATACATTACGGATGAGTGGGAAATTTAATTAATTATTGTCGTGACTTTTTGTGATATACTACCTCCGTGTGCAGTATCATGCATGTCATTGTTCAATAAGCCGATACGCATCATCTTTAAGGTAATCTAACAAAACGGAAACATAATTCAGATAGACATGTTTGATTTTAGAATTTGTCAAATCGACCGATGACTTGACGCGCCAATGTAATATACAACGACTTCATACGACAACAATTTCACGTGACCAGACTCACCATGTGACATATTCAATACTTGCTTAAGTCTCTCTCTAGTTCGGCCTTTTCTCTCAGGTTTTGTTTTATCTGCTCCTGTAAGAGGGCGTTTTCTCTTTCCAACGCTTTTATTCTAAGAAAGAGATGTAAAAAAATCTTAGGAACATAGAAATCCGCGATTTGGTGTAATTCACCCTTCGGAAATTGTGTGAATATAACTTGATCAAGAGATGTGTTATATCTATACCAGAAACTTCGAATAGAAAGTGAAGTGCTGCGAAATGTGGGTATCAATTTTTATAGTACTAACGTTTCATAAACATCAAGTGTATTGTTTAAACACTTATTGTGCACACTTTTTTCATAGACCATTAGAAATAGGTCAATAAATTCGATTTGGTAAACAGTCGATGGTTTCTGCAATTACCCTAGAGTCTTGAACGTACCCCTACCTCTAAAAAATAACCGCCCCCTCGAAAGAGACCACCATCTTTAAAGAATTTTTAAGACCTTTACAATATTTATACTTCATAATCCAAATAAAACGTTCACATACATTAGCCCCAACTACTGCAACCTCACACAACTTTAATTACATTGAAAAATACTATTTATAATGAAAGTTACCGATGCTGAAAATAACAACTCCAAATCAAGCGCTCTCCCAAAATAAGAGCTTCCGTTGAAATTAACCCCCTTCAGGCCACTAACTTTGAAAATAGCTCGAAAGGCTATTTTGGAGGTTCTACGATATCTCGCCATTTCCAAGAATAACTACGCTGGAAAACACATACGAGTGAGTTGTTTCCCCTATCAAATATCACTAAACATTTCATTTTCTTGATGAATACTTCCAGCAACGTTATATCATCAAAATTACCAAGCAAACCGTTTCACAACAACACAGTGCCAAACTTTCATCGCAAAACAAGTGGCGACTACATGAAAATACAAATTTCCGCACAATGCGCATGCGGCATATTTGGCATGACGTAATACAAAAGCATACATGCCATCAAAACGTCAAGATCGTGTACGCATAAAGAATACAATGCGCTCGCAGCAATAACTTTTTTAACGTTAAAAAGAAAAAGATACTAACTTTTCAATGATTGATGCTTTTTCTTTGCTTCGATAATCTTGTACCATTTTCTGTTGTTCTGTACCATTTCTGGTCAACACTTTCTTCTGTTCGTTCAGTTTCGAGTTTAACGACGTCCCTTCATTAAAAAACGTGGGAACGCCGTTTGAGTTGAGTTCTTCATTTGGTATGGATGTATTGCAGAAATTCAACTCGGTATTCGTGTCAATCTCGTTGCTCGTTGTGTTTTCGTTCGGTCTTTGTAAAAACTCGGCATTTTCAAAAGACGAATGTGTTTTTAAAGCGACCGATTTTGGTTCACTCTCTTTATAGTTACCAGTCCTCTTCGGCATGTTTTTGCCTTTACGTACGTCTTCGTTAAAGTCATTGCTCCTCCGCTCCTTCACAATGTTTATTTTTTGTTCAACACGACCTTCCATAGAGTCTCGAGAGCTTTTGCTCGTTGAGCTGGAAGTGCTATTCGATCGCAATTTTCCGTTATTGAATGAAAATGAGCTCACCGATTCAAAGGATGGCGACGGTGACGTAATTCCATCAATGACGTCACTACACGGACTTCTCTTCCCAACGGGGGAACTTCTACTTGAGCTTACACCAAGTGATAGCAATGGAAGCTGATAATTGTTCAAAGATACAGGAGTATTTTTTTCCAATGTGCTGGCCTGATCATAATGAAATGGACCTGGGTATTGATGAGGTTGAGATTGGCTTTGTTGAAGTTGTCGCTGGCTATAAGGCTGAGCATGGTCATGGGAAGATTGACCTTGGCTTTGTTGAAGTTGTCGCTGGCTATAAGGCTGAGCATGTTCATGGGAAGATTGACCTTGGTTTTGTTGAAGTTGTCGCTGGCTATAAGGCTGAGCATGGTCATGGGAAGATTGACCTTGGCTTTGTTGAAGTTGTCGCTGGCTATAAGGCTGAGCATGGTCATGGGAAGATTGACCTTGGATTTTTTGAAGTTGTCGCTGGTTATAAGGCTGAGCATGGTCATGGGTAGATTGACCTTCGTTATAATGAACTTGAGCTCTGTTTTGATGAGACAGGGTGTGGTCGTGCAGATGCTGAACTTGCATGCTCTGATGCTGAGCTTGGTTGGGGGGAAGTTGAGGTTGGTTTCGCTGAGGATGAGGTTGTTTACTCCGAGGTTGAGCTTGGTTTGACTGAGGTTGAAAATTTTTGCTCTGAGGTTTAGTTTGGATGGGCTGATAATGAAGTTGGTTTGGCTGAGGTTGAGGATGTTTGTTTTGAGTTTGTACCAGGCTGGTTTGATGTTGAACTTGGTTTGGCTGAGGTTGAGTTTGGTTGCGTTCTTGAATCCTGTTGGGCAGAGGTAAGACTTGGCTTGGCTGTGATTGAGCTTGGTTGCGCTGAAGTTGAGATTGGATGGACTGAGATTGAATTTGGTTGCTCGGATGTTGAGCTAGGTTGGGTTGAGGTTGAACTTGGTTGCCTTGAGGTTGTGCTCGGTTGCGCTGATGTTGAGTTTGGTTGCGTTGAAATTGACCTTGGTTGGGCTGTGGTGTTGCTTGGTTATAAGGAAGTTGAGAGAGAAATTGTTGAGATTGAGGTTGGTTTTGTTGAATTTGACCCTGATTTTGTTGTACCTGATTAGGATAAGGTTGCGCCTTTTTTTCAGCATGTTGAGGCTGACCACGAGGTAATTTATGATGATTTTGATGAGGTCCAACTTGATTGTTTTGAATTTGAACCTCGTTATGACGAGGTTGAGCCAAATTCTGTTTAAGCATATCATCCCGATTTGGAAACTTGTTAAAATGAAGTTGAGCTTGTTTGGGTGGCACACAGCCAGCCTGAATTTGAGGGGGAGCCGACATAGCCTGAGTTTGGGCATCCACCTTATCATGAAGACTCCCTTGACTCTTCAACAGGTGAACTCCACTATCTTTCTCATTTCCCACATTAGTATTATAAGGTTTAGTGACTTGATTTGCGGCAAGTTTCTTAGATGATGCCTGCACATGGGTGGGCTCATCCGGTGGTGTGTGAAATTGAGATATATTTGCCTGATCAGGTGATCCTTCAGCCGATGGGCCTTGACTATTTGAGAAGCGATTTAACTCAGGAGACGCCAGGTTCGGAGAGGGGCTTGTTTCAATAGAAGTGTTCACAGGCACGAAGTTCTGCTTGGATAATCCTGGTATATTTGGAGGGGTTGATGGACAATTATCTACTACATTCAGCATCAACTTGTTCAGACTATCTCCTTGGGCATCGAAAAGCTCCAAAACAACAGATTCGTCATAATTTTCTTTCACGACAACCGCTCGAAGAACCTTAATAGCAATTGGGAATCAGTTTGATCATACTTCAATTTTAAATAAATAATTAGACTACACGCTCGAGATTTCCATTATGTGATATTTAGTTTATCGTTATCATTTATCGTTATCGTCGAACAGTGTGACCGAGGCGTAAAAGAGGAAGACCAAAACTTGGTATTCAAATAAGTACTTCCTATTTGGAATCAAACATTTTCAACTATTGTCGAAGTTGTGCGACGAGTCTAAGAGAAGGAAAATCGTGTGATGGAATAAATTATCATATTTAGCACGAATATAAACAAAGAATAGTAGTATTAACGTTGACAACGATTCTTTAAGCAAACAATCAATTTCATCGTCATAAACCGAAGTAAAACGCTGGACACCAGGGTCGGCAGCCATGTTTTTTTTTCGCTTCTTGCTATTTATTGAAAATTAGATAGCAAGTAGACTAGCCAATCAAATCAAAGCATTTACAATTATGATTCCACTAACAAAAGTCAGAACACACACCTGGGTTGCTTGAGAAATAATAAATTCCAGGGCCTTCGTCGAGTTGACAAAAGCGTCGTGTGACACGCCATACATGTGCGCAGGTCGCGCTTGAAAAGGCAATTCTTGCGCCTGCCTAGCTTTCGGAGGCAAATCGAAGAATGACGTCAAAGGCACTAGGGCTTCTTTACCTGTATCAACATGAAGTACTCTCACCTGCCAACAGTAACACATTTAAGTAAATTTAACAATTGAAGTATTATCCAATGATGAAGACAGTATGTCATACCTTTCCCTGAGGAAATGAGTCACTGGTGATGGATACACGCGATCGTTCATGGCCGTTCTTGTGATAACAGTAAAGTATGTTTGTTGAATTGGGACCTTTCATATTTATCTGAAATGAAAACGTAAAGGTAACTCGCCCTCTGCAATGTAAACTGTCCTTGCAAATAAATGCAGCTGCAATTTACATTGTAACAAGCCATGCTATGTTATATTTGTACTAAAAGTGCCTATATCACCCTCAGGGAATAACCTATTTAGATAGAGTAGACGACTTTAAGAGCATTTGCAATATATTTCCTTCGACGAAATATGATCTTCCTTGACTTTTTGGGCCTCAAAGTTGGCTTTTTTCATGTTCGACTTTGAGGTGCCACGCCTGGGTCTAGTTTACTAGACGTGACGTGCATTGGAGAACACACTGCTTTTTAACGCTGTAGTTAAGAGTGACATTTTAACAAAGTCGAAGAATTTTATTAAACTAGTTTTATATCGTGCACTTTATTATTTAACTAACACTATATTTTCTATAGCGTTAAGAAGTAGCGTGTTCTTCAATATACGTCACGTCACGTGAACTAGACGAGATCACATCACCTCACGGTAAAGAACGATAAAAGCCAACTTTTAGGCCCAAAAGAACAAGAAAGATCAAATTTTAGTCTTATGAAATAAATGTAAAATGTACTTAAGCTATTTTGTTACCAATCATTGAGACGTTTATATCCTTTCATCAACTAGAAAGAAGTGTATGATGTACAACAACCAATCATAGAGTATAGAATGCAATATTTTAATTAGCTATAAAGACGTGTATGCTATACTTTAATGTACCATAGAGAAATTTATGTTATACAACAACCAAACATGGACAAATGTATGCAGCTCTACAATCAACCGGAGAAGTATATGCCATTCTGTATTCAACCATAGAGAAGTGTATGCTATCCTGTAGTCAACCATAGAGAAGTGTATGCTATCCAGTAGTCAACCATAGAGAAGTGTATGCTATCCTATAGTCAGCCATAGAGAAGTGTACGATATATTGTAGATAACCATAGAGAAGTGTACGATATACTGTAGTCAACCATAGAGAAGTGTATGCTATCCTGTAGTCAACCATAGAGATGTGTATGCTATCCTGTAGTCAACCATAGAAAAGTGTAAGCTATCCTGTAGTCAACCATAGAGAAAACTAATGCCAAACTGTAGCTAACACACCATATAAAGTTGATGAAGGGTTGAAGGTAAAACCAACAACCACGTATAGCAGACAAAGGTGGCAACTTTACCTTATTTTGAACATTACATCTGAGCAAAATTTCCTGAAGTTCCTTTATATCGCGCTTGGACCTCTCGTTTACCAGTTGAAAATAAAAACACGATGGAGATCGGATCTAAGGACAAGTTTATAAGTTTATCATCACAAACAATTAGCACAAGTTTGAGTTCTAGGCGTGAAGAATTTGATGGCAAAAAATGCAAAAGAAAAAATATTCTGAACTCCCCCGTTCAGTTTAATGGCCAATACGAACATAAAAATATTTCTTATAAAATTTTTCTCATAAAATTTTCCATACACAGACTATAGGGTTAATTTACCCCCGTAATAGAGGCCCCGGCACTGTTACTTACATCTGTTATCCAAATGAAAATTGGGTTTATTTTGTCGACATCACAAAGCCAGGATTTGATAGGCTGAAGTTCTTCAGGGACGGGGGGTGGTATCGACAGTAAAACAGAAGCAACTGAAGGAAGGATCAACAGATGTTTTTTGACTCCACGTAAACAGGATAACTCCTTATAACACTGTTCGCCATTTGCACCCAGCAGCTCAACATCCAAAAGAAGAGGCTACAAAGCGTCATTAAAGCACATGTCACACGTACCAGGATGAAATTTCACCGGGGGGGTGGAGTGCGCGAACTAGTCCTAGCTTTAGTTGGAATGGGGTGAATGAGTGAACAATTTATGTAAATGCCAATGACCGACAGACTGACACATAGACAAAAATAAGATCAAACTCAAAATAACACACGCACCTCCCCCCCCCCCGATATAAGTTATGCAAAATTCGTGATGCAGATGCGTGAAATTTTACTCTTCTATTCGTGTTGTTCCACAAAAACAAACTCATAAAGAAAAGCTTGTTTAAACAAAAAAATTATACTAAAAGAGTCTTTGCTAGAGATGAATACAGACACAAGCCAGCAAAAATGCTTACGTTGCATGACGTCAGAATTTGCAATTTTACAGAAACCGCGAATTCTGGGGACGTCATAAAACATAGGCATTATGCCTCCCGGTAACGTCACAAAACACGAGCAATTGAGCATTATGCGCCCCAGCATGCAACAAAAAATGGAATGGAGGAAGAAATACCTGGGATGGCGCAGTTGCAACTTTTCTAGCTGTGAAAACTTTTTCATGGAGAATTTTTTTCGCCGAAACAAAAATGTTTTCGTCGGTAGCAGTGCCGCCGGCCTCGTACTTTAAACCTACAAAAAATAAAGGAACATCAGAAAAACTAATGAAGAGATAACATTTCGTGAATGATAACAATTAGCTAAGATCGTTTATCATGTTTCCTGTGAGAAATTTCGACTTTCTTTTTAAGAAATCTGCGGGGCTCGATATCAATCGGTCAGCGCGACGGTAATTTAGTCAGAGGTGCCCATGATCAAATGTGGGACCCGGAAAGAGCCTCAACCAGACCACAAGTTTGGACGTGCTATGCAAATATTTTGAACTTCACTAACTGTAAAAAAATAGATTTCAATGGAAGCAAATGATAGTAATGATCTGAATTTACAAAGCACGACCTAATTTGAGGGCTGGCTACGTCACTGGACCTAAAAAATTGTAGTAGCACCTTGTGACGTCATAGTTTTAAACATTTTCCACCGCAAGGAACACGTGCAACGTGTCTTGAAAGTCAAAATAACTATGCATGATTGTTTTAATGTTAGGTCTTTTTTCATACAAGAGCGCCTTTTATAGGTTGCAAAGCCGGCACAAAATGCCTCCTGACCTGTCTCCGCGGCCTGAGTTTAGAACTTCAAGCATTCAAAGAAAGTATCTTCAACTATTTTAAAGGAGCAAGGAATGTGCAGAAAAGAGAATTCATCAGGGAAATTTGGAAAAATTAATGAGAATCCATCAGGGAAATTTGGAAAAATTGATGAGAATTTTTCAGGGAAATTCGGCAAAATTGACACGTACCTGAAAACTTCGCTAAAACGCCTTGGGGACGAAGCTCGAACAAATCATCGTTTATAAGCACTGTTTGATCACGTGAAAGCCATTCTGTGTTGCCATAGTCAATGTACATGACGCGCACATTCTTTAGGTCAGCGGATTCTTCACAACAATAACATCTAAGAAACACACGAGGAAATGGATTGAACCTTGTCATGATGAAGATGAATATTAAATATAGTAAAAAATCATTCACATTTTAGGGAGCGAAAGTATAAAATGGACTACCGAAGAAATTTAAGGAAGAACAATTCTTCTCACTTTTCAAATATTAACGTTCATGTTAAGTTAAACGTTTCAAATCTAAGGAATTATTTTCATCATATTTTTTCATACTGCTAAATAAACTTATTTTATTTTATTTCGATGTTTAATCTTTAATAAATTCGAACTTAGAAGGCAGGTCCCCTATTTACAATGGTAGTTTCAACTGAAAGGGTTAACCTGTAAAAATGAAGACTATTCTTTTTATCATCGGTCAAGTTATATATATGTGAACACCAAAACTGAAAGGATGCAGTCTATAAACCTCTGCAGAATAATAAGGTACAAAAAGAGGCATCCTCCCCCCCCTCTACAATTACAATAGAAACATGCATTTTGTAGACTAACAATCTTTCTTATCCCACGCGCACCAGCTAATCAACAATAATTATAATTTAAGTGCTGCGTATGCTGAACGCGATTGGTTTATTTCTTGTCACATGACTTAAATTAACGCAATGTTTTCCGCTAGGGAAAGAAGTGAAATATTGTTTAACATCATAAAAATAAAAATTTCTCGAGCTCCATTGACATCACCTAGCGTGGAATCAACTACTTCATGTATGTACATCGTACTTGGTTACGTAGGATAAGTTTCTTACACCTACCTATACCAACATCCATCTTCAGAAAATTTCCCAGCACCCATTTTTCCCTTGCTAAGATGACGAGAGTCCGAAGTCAACTTGATGGTAGACAGGTGAAGGGATACATCGTTAAAGACTTGATAGTCAGTACTCTAAATGTCAAAAGATAATGAAGAAGTGAAAAGATTTTTTGAAAACGACAGAGTTGTATACTTACCCCATCAGCAACATGGAGCCAAAATGTACAAGGGTCAATAAGTTCCATGATTTTAATTTCAAATTTTTGCGGAAGATTTTCCATCCAATTCGCGTATCGTTTACCATAACAACGGTTTACGGCTTCGCTAAAGATCTCGTAGATTGTTGTCAATGTATTTTGTCTACCTGAAATTTGAAATTCGAGCACTTCTATACGACTTTTGTTTTTTAACTGAAGTGACCTCAAGTGTAATGTATTCATGAGGAGTGATCTGATATCCAAACTTCAGTGCCTCATCTAGTGATCTACTGAAACATGAGTCCTTAGTCTAGTGCCTTCATTTAGAATGATCTGATGTTGAGTTGAGTCCTTACATTCCATGTAGTGTCTACACCAGTGAGTCCTTATACTCCAGTCTAGTGCCTTCATTTAGAATGATCTGATGTTGAAAGTTGAATCCTTACATACTCCAGTGTAGTGTCTACACCAGTACCAGTCGGATGTCAAAACTTGCAAATATATACACTCCAGCCTAGTGTCTTTATCGATAGTGGTGATCCGACAAATAAACTATAGTTTGGGGAAAAAATCACGTGTTATGAAGATCGCCACTGACCAGGTAATTTGTCGTCGTGACCCATTTCCGACGTGGAAAGTCTCGATACTTCTTGATGATTTTTAATCAAAGGCTTAGTCATGAGAACTTCACCAAAGAAAACCTTATCTTTTAGCGTTTCGATCAAATTTGTAACACTGTCAGCACTTTTTAAGGTGACAATACTGTAGCTATAACAAAAGAACACATCAAAAAATAGTGATCACGTGGTACGGGGTGAATAAATAATTTCATTAGACAAGCCACGGATTAATTTAGGCGGGGAATGCACACGTAATCTATTTCACACTAGAGCCCACACACTCCCTAAAAAAACTATTTGCCTAAAGCAAAAACAATGCTGCCACAAGATAGAAATTTTTCAAGCGTACTCGAAATTTGTTTGTATTTAGTTCACAAAAATGAAAGTTTGTAATATTTAACATTATACTTGAAAGACGCTTTTTTCACTAGTAAAATACGTAGTGATATGCATGGGCAGTTTAAAAGAAGACTTTGAAATTTCAACTTTGTATTTCAGGATGATTCGTGAATCAAAACAACAAGTTTGATTCAGCCAACTTTTTGACGCAGTTAACGTAATTCAAAATAAGTTTTGATCCACTTCAAGGTGCGTTGCTTTTGAAGTAGAAAAATGGTCTTTACTCGGTTAAATGTCACGTTTGAGTAGGTATAGCATATGATTCACAAAACTGAAAATTATTACAATCCAGTGCATAATATTTAAGATAAGTAAAACTCCTAAAAAGTAATAGCATACTCAAAGGCACAATGCGCTTAAAAGTAGAGCATGCGCATTTCAATTCGTAACATGAAAATCTTATGCTCGGCAATCTAAAAGCCCTCTCACACTCACTGCATGTGACATTTAAGTCGCGCTCTCTCTAATCAAAGGCAAAGTCATTTCTCCAGCTAAGAAAATAATCAGTAGAGTGAAAATATCGTCTTCAATAATTATGAAATGATTTTGAATCTGCACTCAGTAGCGAGGCGTTTACAATTCAGGCATTAATGTTGTAAATCATGTTTGAAAAACAACATGGCGGCGTACACGATTTTTTGAGTGTTGTAAATACTTCTAAAAAATACGATTAATTTTGACAACGCAGGTAAAGATTTTAACAAATTCAAAGTTCATGACCAGCTGTTTCATTTACTGCTCATGTAATTTAAAACCTTTTTATTGTCGACGAGATAATCGTAGCTATATGAGCCGTTGATAAAAGCTCGTAACAGCGGTATTTTTGATCTCGTGGTGGGGTGTACACTGACTTTAAGAATGTAAGGTAATTGATGATTTATACATACCCTGAACCCCACTCCAGATTTAAAGGTTCGCATACATTTTGAAGTAAATTTCTCAAGTTCTCCTAAAGGCAAAAGATAACTAGTCAGTGAATGGAAAAAATAAATTCATATTGCAGAGATTGATTTATGTGGGAAAAGACGAGGTATGTACCTTCCTAGTCATTGGTAGATGGGTAGCAGTAGGGGTGCTAATATCTGTATCAAAAGCAATTGGGATTACTTCAGAAATGAAAGATCTTTGCCGAGGAGACCTTTGGGAGAACTCGAGAGCAGATCAGTGCAAGCCTGAGATCAAAGGTCGAGGGTTGCACCTGCTCCAAAGTTCACACAAACGTTTACAAGGTTAGCATAGAGAAGAAATGAATGTTTTAGCATTTCCTCAAACATTTGTTCACGACTTATTTGCAAATTCTCTTTCACTGATTTGTTGATTGAGCTAAGATTGGTCTGAACAGGGCATGCGTTGTACTGCTGATATTTTATAATGTGTAATGAACCATAAGGTAACAGAATTTGACAAAAACTCTGACGAACTACGACAACAAGTAGCGACCGAAATTCAATAGAAAGTACAACACCACCCTACCCTACCCTAAAAAAATACCGTCGTGAATTCATCTTTTACTCAAACTACGAAAATTCCCCGGGAGTTTTAAACATTGCCATGTGTTGAAAATAAAGACATGCGCGTTATAGCTGTCAGTCCAAAACGAGGTCAATTTTTCAAAGACTTTCCATGCACATTTAGAAAAAAGAAGACATTCGTCAAATGTTGTTCGCCATAAATAAGCACTCGGTGAGAGTGAAATTTTCGTTTTAAATTGCCAAGTTGTAAGTTGTAATTCAATGTTGTACGGAACATTTCCCATGTCGAGTGGTTCCACACGCGGCCCCACGAAGCACTTGGGGATTGAGACGTATGTCATTGTTAAGAACCAAGACAAGAAATAAAAATCGAGCTCAAACCATTAGTGGCAGACTTACAGTCAACTAATGGTCAACTTCGGAAGGTAGTCACCACATTTTAGGCAACATACGTTGAGGCTTTGTGGCTGCGGAGAGGGTGCCCGCAATGGGAAAAATGGTCAAGTTTAGTACAAATTATTGAAGACAATTTGGAGAATTTCAAACAAGAAAATGAGCATTACCTCCTCAAATTTGTTGCTATAGCCGGAGATAATTACGCCATGTTTAGAATTGATCGCATCATTTCCGTTGGTACCAACACGGCGTTGATACTGGGAGCTATCGAAAGGCGAGGAATAGGGTGACTGCGAGGGTTGATTTGGAGCTTGAACAGCAAGAGGGGATAGAGAGAGTTCAGATGATGCATGCTTGTACTGTTGATAAGGGAAATTATTTGTTTTTGGAGTGGAGTTGTGGGGGATCGGTGGTTTAGCGTTGTGAGTGGCCTGTGCTATGGTTTTGTGGTTGATCTGCGGTATGATGTCATGGGGGGGCTGTGATGCGGTGTTGTGGGTGTTTTGTGGTACGGCGTTGTGGAGTGTCTGTGGTATGACGCTGTGGAGGGTATGTGGTATGGTGTTGTGAGTACTTTGTGGTATGGTGTTGCGGACGGTCTGTGGTATGGTGTTGCGGGTACTTTGTGGTATGGTGTTGTGGAGAGTCTGTGATAGGGTGTTGTGGACGGTCTGTGGTATGGGTTGTGGGTACTGTGATATGGTGTTGTGGAGAGTCAGGTTCTGGGTACTGTGGAACTTTGATTGTGGTGGATGTGGTGTTGTGGGTTTGTGGTAGGAATTGCCACGGGTAGGTTGAGAACATGACGAAGAATTTGGGAGTTGAGCGGCTGCAATTGGAACACTAGTAGGTGGTGGTGACAATGGCTTTAAAGGAGATGAAGGTATTGACGACAGGCTACTTTCACTTGCAGTAGAACTTATCTCAGAATGATCGCTGCTATTACTAGAGTCCGACTTCCTTTTTGTCTTTCCTACAACCAATTGCATTCCATGAACAACAGGTGGGTTATTTATGCCCTCCACCAGTGCACGTTCAGCGTCAGTTTTCACTGCATAGTTTACAAAGGCAATCCTGAAAAAGGAATTGAAACAGTATTTATCGGTCTTTCACAAGTTGTCACTTGAAGGGCCTGTTTAAGGAGAAGTGTGGTGACCTCATTCAACTAAAATACATGGAACGCTATCTGAAATAAATAATTAAAGCCAAATCTTACACCCAGACACGTGTGTAGTGTTTCGAGATCCTCCCGCGAAGTGAAATTGATTGATTACACGCGCGTGTCTGTGTTTAGTCTCGCGTGTCTGGGTGTAAAATTTAGCTTCAAAAAATTATCTAGCTTTTCTATTACAGATAGCGTTCCATGTATTTTAGTTCAATGGATGACCGTAGCACAATGGTTACCTTTGTAAGCAAGTGACACTACGCGTGTCTGTGTAAGCAAGTGACACACGCGTGTCTGTGTTTAGTCTCGCGTGTCTGGGTGTAAAATTTAGCTTCAAAAAATTATCTAGCTTTTCTATTACAGATAGCGTTCCATGTATTTTAGTTCAATGGATGACCGTAGCACAATGGTTACCTTTGTAAGCAAGTGACACTACGCGTTGAAGTGAGTGACACGCGTGTCTGTGTTTAGTCTCGCGTCTGGGTGTAAAATTTAGCTTCAAAAAATTATCTAGCTTTTCTATTACAGATAGCGTTCCATGTATTTTAGTTCAATGGATGACCGTAGCACAATGGTTACCTTTGTAAGCAAGTGACACTACGTTAATATGTTTTATAAGAGGCGTCTACATGTGCTCTATGGGAACCCTAGCAGTAGAGGGCTATCCCATCAAATGGATACGGTTACTGGAGCAGTAAGACTAAACCATGTAAACGAGTGTGATAGGTTTACCATGACAGTATAGGATCGTGTTCACATAACATCTCTTGAACATATGTTTATAGATATCAGGGGGAAAAATATCGCATGCAGAGTGCACGCTTACACAAGGTGATCTACACGACTCTACGCTATGACTAATAAGGACGTTTCAAGATGACGAAGAAAGTTTTGACAATTTGAATGCTTTCTTCATTCAACATACACTCAAAATGAATAGAATGGTAATTACTTTGACAACGATTTTCAAAAGTTTGAATACATAAATGAGCCTAAAAAAAAACACAAAATCTATTCATCCGCAGTTAACAGAAACAAGCTGTTGATCGTACTGTGTTTGATAACACACAGACCAACCCACCTAAAGGGATGGCCAAGCAAGTAAGATGGCCGTATCTCGTGTAAACAATCAGTATCTCTTTGACCTACTTGTTAATGAAAGCTTTCTACTAGAGTGATCCTACTTCCATGTGAACGAACCTATTTTTAATCTTAATATTCTCGATAAACAACGTACTTTTTTCCAATTGAACTCTTCATAACCTGCACATAGCAAACATTTCCGTAACGCCTGAAGCAATCTCTCACATCAGCCTAAAAAAAGGCATATGCAATTACATCGAAATATCTAGCGTGCCTGTACGAAACCATTTCAGCTCAAACAATTGAATGAATTAAAGAGAACATAAAAATCAAACGTTAAAACATGTCAGAGGAAAAATTGTAGTGCTAAAAATTTCAAAAAGCATTGATTTCAATGCTAAAATATTTGCAGTGATTAACTATATTTTATAAAAAACCTCCTTACATTACAATGGATATAAGTTGTTTTGCCAATATTAACAAATTATTTTGCTCACCTCTAAGTCAATGATCAATTGATTGAAATTCTCATAATCTGCTCTCCCCTTAGGGTTTCAGATCTGTCGACCTGTGTGACCTCTTCAAACAGGAGGTTTGGCATGCTGGATTTAATGGTGTGATGATTTAAGTCTTTACACGCAGATCTTAGAGAATGCTTTGTTTGTGATGGAAATGTCAGTCAATTTCATGTTTTGAAGCGTCCGGAAGAAAAGGAGTTTTTATAAAGAATACAAAGATGAAGAAATGAAAAAGTTTGTTGGAAGTAGATCACTTCAGCAGAAGGCTTGCTCGAAAGCAGGTGGAAGAAATAATGATTCTTTACATGAGATGGGTCATCCTACTTGCTTGGCCATCTCTTTAGGTGGGTAGGTCTGGGTGTTATAAGAGACGGCGTCATAAACAGCTTGGAGTGTTCACTGCTAATGAATACATTTTGTTTTCCACGAGGAACATTTGTAGATTCAAACTTCGGTATATTCTTTGAAAATCGTTTTCAAAGTAATTACAATTTTATTCGCTTTGAGTGTAAGTTTAAGGAAAAAAGCATTTGAAAAGTAAACAGTTTCATTGGCGTTTTGAAAACTTCCTTAGTTGCAGCGTGAAGTCATGTAGTTTACATTGTGTAAATATGTAATCTGCAAGCGATTTTTTTTCCTGATTTCTGGAGATGTGATGTGAACACGATTCTATACTGTCATGATAAGCCTATCTCACTCGTTTACATGGCTTATGTAAACAAAAACATAGTCTTATTGCTAGAGTAACCATATCCAATTGATGGGATAGCACTACTGCAAGAGTTCCTATAGAGCACTGGTAAACGCTATTTATAAAACATATTAACGTGTGGTCACTGGCTTACAAAGGTGTGCTAGGGTGACCTTACTTCCACGTAAACAGACCTTTGAATTTAGAAGCATTATTCAGAAGATACATTTTTAGCAAGCCCCGAAGTTCTCGCAATGCCGCAGTGGAGCATCGTCTTCAGAATCGTAAAAATTCTTTAGCTAAATGATAAGTAGTGAAAGATTCATCAATACTGCTTCAATTCATGTTTCAGGAATACCTTTGTAAACGACGCATTGAAAACCGACGAACAGCGGAAACTGGTAGAGGGCAAAAAGAACGCCCCTGTTGTTCACGGAATGCAGCGGGATAAAGAAAAGACAAAGAAGTCGGATACTAGTAATAGCGACGATTACTGATAAATAAGCTGTCAGCTTTCTGTCATCAATACCTTAATCTCTTTTAAAGCTGGTAACCTCAAGCTTGGCACCATTCAGCGAAGTTGAAAATAAGATCGTTACAGCGTTTGTTGACCTGGTTCCTGTTGTCCACACTTCAGCAGATGATCTTTTTAATGCAATCAAAGATTGCCTTGCCACAATTAAACTTGATTTAGTGAATTGTGTTGGCTGTGCTAGTGACGGTGCTTCAATGATGGTTGGGGAACACAATTCGCTGTGGACAAGAATAGCTGCTGTCGCTCCTCATTGCATCAAGATGACGTGTATTTGCCATTCGTTGTCCCTTTGTGTTCAGCATGCATTTGAGAAACTTCCGTCGAGTGTAGGATTTCTTCTGGCAGAAATTCCGAAATGGTTTTCAAAGAGCGCTATTAGAAGAGAAGCATACAAGACGCTCTACGAAGTGATGAATCCAGATGATGTGCAAGATGCACCGTTTGAGAAGTACTCAACTACGAGGTGGCTTGAGAGGAAAAGTTATATTTCGCATTCTCACAAATTGGTTTGAGCTGCAAGCTTACTTCCGAACAGCACAACCAGAGACGACGCAGGCAGCAAGATTCAAGGCTCGTATTCTTCTGGACATGCTCAATGATCCAGTCCTATATCTTTATTTCCATTTCGTTTCTCCTCTGGTCACAGAATTCGACAGGGTGAATGCCTTCCAGGCAACTGATGGTGATCCAGAAGAAATGTTCACGGAACTAAATGTACACCATAAAAGTTTATATGGTAGAGTTTTCGACCACCAAGGAAAATATCTAGCCATTTATGAAGTTGACTTTGGTGGAAAGTTCTTGTCAGAAGCAAAGAAATACATTTCTTCCCAACAAGACAAACGACGTACTGAAGCTGAAGTTTCTGAAGTGAAAAATAGGTGTCTAGAATTTCTTGTGGAAGATGTAAATCAAGTAGAGAAACGTTTACCAGCTGTCCGGAATATCTTTAAAGGTTTAAGCGCCCTGCATCCAAGCAAAGTTCTTGATGTAACAACGAGAGCCGATTTTGAGCAACTGCCGCTTCCTAATCTACGAAAGGATCAAGATTATGCAATTGAGGAGCAGTACAGGAAGATCGTCCACCGAAATTGGAAAGAGGAACAAATTTTTAACGGCATCATACCTGATACAGCAGTTGCATTTTGGTCAAAGATAGTTCAGTTCCAAACTTCTCTTGGGGTCAAACCATTCAAGGAATTGGCAACTTACGCCTTGCTGCCTGACAAATCCTGTAAGCAATGCAGTGGTTGAAAGAACCTTTTCCTTGGTGACATCAGTGAAGACCAAACAACGCAATAGGATGAGCATAGAACTGCTAAATGCCATTATTCGTATTCGTTCCAGCCTACACTTTGCCGGGAACTGCTGCATTAACTTTAAGGTAACTAAGCGAATGCTTGAGCTGTTTGCCACTAAACACATATATGAATGTGAGTAGAATAAACATAAGAACTATGCATAAATATTTATATAAATCTGTATATATGGAGAGCAGTAAAAATGACAACTATGCACGTCGAGATCTTATAGAAAGACAGATAAAATAGTTTATTCACTTTGTATTTTTGACATGGCCTTTTAAGCTTGTAATGCTTATCAAGAAATTTTTGACGTGTAGTTCATTTTTCTCTTCATTTCGTCAACAAGCACCTTATATTTTGCAACAGCGAATAAATTTTCAGTCTTACGTTCTGTATTCACCTCTTCCCATATGTCCTTTGATGTGTACATTAGGCGTTGGCATCGCTAGATTTGCAATGTATGGTATATATTTATGATAAATCCATATAGACTATAAGAAGCAATTAGAAAAACTTATTAAAACCGCATGCCATAAACAGTGCGGGCTCAGAAAACAAGTTTGGCCTCTTTTGTTGTCATTTGGCTACTTTTCAAACCATATTTGGCTACAAACGAGCGCTGGAGCCTAACAACCCTGACCATCACCTACTAAAAGTGTTCCAATTGCAGCCGCTTTGTCATGTTTAGGCTCAAAACTTACAACCAATAGACATGTGCTTATGTCCACAAACCAATAAGATAAAACCGCTATCCTTTCCGTAACCACAAAGACTCACATGTGTTGCTACGCAACGTACGCAAGTCCGAAACTACATGGCGAACGACATTTGACCATTAAGGCCCGTTCACACGATTCAATTTGTGGGATCCGTTTGTTTGGGTTCCGACTTTTGGTTGCTTTTTCAGACGGTCCAATAATTTTGTTGATATTTACATTCGTTTGGATATTTAAAGTCGTGTGAACAGCCATTTGTGCTATGCATCACATTTACCGATATAATTTTCGTATTTTTGTTCTTGTTTCAAGTCTTTTTTAAATCTATGTAATTCGACTAGTCGGCCTCCTTTGATATTGTCGGATGAAAATAGAGCAAGTTTTATTTCCATCTATTTTTTTTAGATTGACGGATCCGACTGTCGAAGGCTCACTTTATATGTGTTCACACGATCCGTTATTTAGGATTCGAAAAAATCGGATCCCGCAAATCGGATCGCGTGAACGGGCCTTTAGTTAACTTTAAGCCAGCGAATGAAGGTTTTCACTTGATTTTTATTTAATGCCGTTGTGGTTGTTAAAAGATAACGTATTATACGTAATAATCTCGAAGTACTTCGTGGTTCGCGTGAAACTACACGAAATGGAAAATGTTGTGTATAACTTAGAATTATAAAGCTATGGCAATTTAAAATGAAGATTTCAGTTATTTCATTCCCACAAAGGGCGTATTAAAGGCAAGCAACGTTTGAGGATTGCCTTCTTTTCTAAAACTGTTAATAAAGTTTTGAACTCTAAGTTCAAAGAACTTGCACAGAGGTAAACAGATCTGAAACCAGGGGTCAAATTTTAAAATGTCAATCAATTGACTTTTGAGGGCTGAGCATAATTACTTAGTAATAATGGCAAAAGACAAACTACCTCCATTGTCATATTAAAAGGTTTTTTGCTATACATAATAAAATGTTTATTTTTGTGTTGAAATCATTGCTTTTTTAAATTTACTTATCTTGAGCATGGCACTCAATTAAAGGTAGCAGTTATCAAAACAATTTTGGACCAAAGTTTTATGAACCTCTTCTACCAACAACGTGTATGTGTATATGTACATTATAGCCTTAGTGATTTATGTAAGCCCTTGGTTTTTGTGCCAAAGCACTTCACTAGTTTTTGGTGATCATGAGCTGCTGGTGGAGAAAAGGTTAAAATGTTGATAAAACAAACACTTTGCAAACCTTAAGTGAATGCACAAAAAGTTACACAAGATATGAAAATTCATTTCAAAATGTTTAATTGCATGTATCAGGGTCAGTGAAATAACTTCTTTTCATAATTAAATCAATTTTAAAAACATTTGCAAAATACTTTATACTGTAGGTCAAAAATTTTATTCTCATGAGCTTTTTGAGCATAGAAGTTGACAGGAAAAAACAGCTCTACTTCTTAAACATTCATTTGATTAATTGCTACATTAATGGCATCAAAGTATAAACCAATGCTACATCTTAAGCTTATAATGCCGCTTTTTAAGAGTTGCTATAATAATTCACCCAGAGGGTTTGAAGTCACCCAATGTTTAGAATTTGCATGACTTGGAAGAATTGACCCCAAAGAAACCGTAAGCTCAAAATGAATGCAAAAATTCATGAGAAATCAAGTTATTACATGTTGCAATTCCCATGTAAGAAATCACTTTCAATGCCATTTACGCCTCCTTGTGGGTCAATTATTACTGAATCATGTCATTTCTAATAGTCAGGTTATTTGGAAAAGGGTTGCAGTTTTTTATAAACAATGTACATGCAAGTAATATTCCAACCCCAACCCCCAACTAGAGCCTTAGCCTAGAGGCTAAGCCTCTAGCACAAATTTTGAACAGAACTTTAGTACCTCTGTGCAGGATTCAGGTAGCATTGTAACATAAACTTGATACTTTCCATTCTTGTTAGGCTGAATTCCATCCTCAAAATGGCCAGCTTTTCTGGCATCAACATTATTATTTGTCAAGGTGATTTTTAGACCCATCTCACCGTCTGTTTGAATAAATCTACCGTCTTCGAGCTGTTTAGCAGGGGTTTTATCAGGCGCTGTCTCTTTGACATTCTTCTTGGCATGCGAGGACATATATATACCATCTACATGAACAGCATAAACGCGATTTTCTTTGTCCTTGCTATTGTATTCCAAAGTGCAGACATCGGGAATGGCTTTTAAAAACTCGTTCAGAGAATTAAAGCCGTAGTTTCGCCACATCAACTTCTCGCCAATCAATTCGCGGTAGTCGTTTTGCACACGGCTTTCTTTCACCCCTTTGCTTGATACCAAGACAGAGCGGAGGAAGCTTTTAACCTCGTTAGGTACTCTGTCAGAATTGGCCATTTTGAGTATTGAAAGAAGCACCCACGAGTTTGGGAAGAAGCGAGCCCACGTTGACAAATAGAATATTGGTCTGAGGTAACTCGTCCCAAATTCGTGTAAATAAAATGAAGACAAGTACATGAGTGTAAAAATGAAAGCCATAATTTTAAAAATATTTCGCTTTTGATAAATAGTATCGTACAAAATTAATCTCAAATCATGCAATGTTTATTTAAAAATCTTGACCGATAAAAATAAACTACCTGATTACAACTATCAGTCCAAATCATCATTTTTAGAATAAACACTTTGATTTCTTCGCACCAGCTTGAAGACTTTAGCAGGTGGTTCTGAGTTAAAGTTGTCACCTTCATTGCAACTAGAAATGAAGCTTGTTCAGAGAAAACCTGACTGTCAATTGATGATTTTGTCAGTGTCAGAGAAACATCACAATCTTCAGCTTTGTCATCTTGAAATTGGCAAAAGCATCTTCATTTCTGTTTAAACAGGAAAGTGAACTCTTCTTGTCTTTTGATTGCTTTCCTCAAACATTAGAGGAGGAAGTTTAAGATTTTTATTGGTTCTTTTACCTTTTCAAAATTTCTTTCTCTGAGTCTTTATTGCTTTTTCAACTTCTGATGATACACAAGAAGACTTGCTACACTTCACAGCCTCCCGATCTATTTCTTCCTCATCCCCATCATCCTCGCTGAGGTTAATCTCATCTGGGTTCTCCAAAACATTATCATTGGGCACATCGGTGATCCAAAAAGGATTAACGATTTTCAATTTTCTACAAAATTCTTCTGTTTGCAGATTTTTAGTCATCATCACATGCACATATTTCTTATGGTGAACTGGATTATACAATGGCACAGTTTGGCAAAAATTTTCGGGTATTTTAAGGTCGTTGTTGAACAAATCCATCACATGTTGAATGGTTTCTTTGTTTGGTCTTAAAGATGAGATTACTGATTCATCATTTGGTAAATTTGTACCAAAGGGTTTGGTATTCAAAAGTGGCATAGTCGATTTAGTAATCGCAAGCCATTCTGCATCATAACTCAATTCTAATGCTCCCTTAGCTGGACCAACATCAATGACCTCTAAGTACCTACGTCTAGGTAAACACTTGTCCAATGCTAAAAAATAAGTCATTTTACCGGTCTGGCTATGGTAAATTTGCGCAGGAAACCGACAATGCAGATGAGCCGAGAACCAAAAATCTGGTTGTAAAGTCCGCAATACCTCTTGTGCTGCATTACTACCCAAAGTGTCATCTTCGATCTCCTTTTGCAAATATCTCTTCCATCGATAAAGCTCATTAAGGTTGCCATAGTGATAAACACCTTTCGGCCAATCATGTGATAGTCCAATATTCACTGGCTTGGATAGTAACTTCAGCTTGAACACATCCAAACTTCGTACATGATATATACTCCTGACCGTGTCTTGGGTGAAGGGTGGTCGCTCATGATGTCCCTTATGATAGTCATGGTACTTATAAATTCCAGACAATCCCACAATCCTCATGCCACCAAAGTTGACAACTCCAGAGTAACCAAGGTAGTAGATATTTGGTGCGACCCAACCACCAAACGGCAGTTCCCACAAGTGGTTCGACGCTTCGTGGTTACCGCCAATAAAAATCGTCAAAACCGGTGCCTTGCGCTCCCCATTGTAATACTTGTAAAAACTGCACATTTTACGGTATTTTTGCGGCACCGCCATGCACTCCAAATCTTCTTCGTTTCGTACGGCTTGAAAATCCCCGCAACATATCAATAAATCGATCTTGATGTGATCCCTACGTTGTATATTCTCTAAAGCGGTGTATATATTATCCAATTCACCATGGGCACAGCCTTCCACGGCAATTTTCATGATAAGTTTCCTCAAAACGTGTTTGTGTTTATGTATTGCGCACCCAATTCGAACTTTTCCAACCCGATTCGAAGATTTATTTCGCACTGATTACCATTGCTCAGAATACCATTTACCTTGTTCTGGAGATTTTTTAAAATTAAACTTAAAAATAACTATTCTTTGCTTTGTACTCCAGTTAAATAATATCTTCACTTGTTGATTCAAAAATTGACACGAAATATTTACATGTTGTTTTACACTATCCAATGTACGAGGTGTCAAAAACCATATTCCAAAATTTTGATGTGATCGAACAAATATTTTGCGCTGTACAGTCAATCAAAATTTGAAAAATATACCAGTTTAAGCGCTCGGTTTTACCGCTAAAGGACTGGCGATGCGCGGTGCGGGACGTCATGTAAGTAATCGCTTCCTGAACATTATAGTAATTTAACAAGTTATTTTCTTTACTATTGTCACATCATGCCAAATGCCCATCTATTGGAAAGGCGATATTCTTTGTTTGCAATCACGTGATTTATTGCTTCAAAATGTTTTTACGGCTTTCAAGTGAAAGATGGCGGCCAATGCTACCATAACTAAGCCAACAGCAACAACGAAAAATATAGTATCCGAGTACTTTTTATCTCTTCAACCAAAGGCAAAGTCAAGATACCAAGAGAAGCTTTCCTTATGTGATGGACTGGATCCATATTCTCTAAAAAAGAATGACTTTTTAACCGATCATAACAATTTCCCTAACTTGCAGTTTCCTGACATATCAAATTATTTGGTCGTTCAAACTTCATTTTATACGAAGAAACAAATGAAAGCATATAAAAGTCTTGAAGCTTACAACTTTTTTGTTTGTGGTTGGGTCCATGAAGTAAAATCAAGACGTGTAATGGACAACAACAATTGCCTTGTTTTTGCGAGAGTAGGTACATTTTTGTTCCATTACAACTCGCAGGAAACACAGCTACTACTTTCAAGTCTAAGCACAAGTAAATATCACGGAACTTGATTACTGTGATTTTATTGTTTGGAATGAGAGTGATATTTTCATTGAAAGAATTGTTCCAGACAAAGAATTGTGGGATACTATTGTGGTTAAGGCAGAATATTTTTTTAGGAATTGCATACTACCCGAAGTCATTGGGCAGCATTTTTCAAAGCCTCTACTCACTTCCCACCCTTCCAATTTCATACGATATATCTAAACTTAAAGATGGCATTATATTTATAACAAACATTGCTCTAGCCATCAAATAGCAATAAATATATCAAAAGTTTTAGTTAAACAGATGAAGATGTTTATTAATAAAATAGATGGAGATGTTTCTTACATGTTGCTCTCAAAGTTTTCAATTTTAGGGACTATTGTTTTACTCCACAGGGACTACAGATTGAGATAAATTAGTTAAAGCACAACATATGACTGCTATCTTATCAATTACTGCAGTGTGCAAATTAACGGTGTGCAATGTGCAATTTGCACATCGTTTTAGCTAAAATGAAAACAACTGCACATCGCTTTTTCAAACGATGTGCAAAAATCAACGGTTTTAACGAAAAACACTGTCGTAAATCATATGAATTTGTGCACCTTTAAAAATATTAATTTAGCAATTAGCGCTATATAATAATTAACGTAATATCGATTTGATTATGCCTATAAAGAAACACTTTTGTCAAAAAAATTGCACAGCGTTTTTTCTGAACTAATTCGCACACTGAATTACTGATTGTACTTCGCCAGGTTTTTTGTACATGTACTCTATTGGAAGAGCACCACTTTGAAGAACTTGGCACTTTCTACGAACCAGTCCTATCACCCTTTCAACATGTATTCTTACATTTGCAATTTTTCGGGTCTCTTCCACTTCATATGGTGATAACTGTGTTTTCCCTTTTGTAAATGCTGGTGTTTTCAATGAAGCACAATAAAGCCCAACACTCTCCTCAATGTTAAAACCTTTATCAGCAAGAACAACATCTCCAGGTAATAAATTGTCCAAAATACCACTTGCTTCAGTTAATTGTTTGTCACTTACTCTTCCTCCCCAAGCACTTGAGATGAAGGTCACAATTCCTTGTGGAGCAATTCCGATCAAAAATTTTACAGTATTATGATGTTTATAATTAGACGATGTTTGGGCACGAGCTAATAAATTTGATGGTCGCTCAATGAAAACTTCAAAGCAGTCTAGTACAACAGCAACTTTGCATCCAAAGGACTTTCTAAAATCCATAGGCATAGTTGCCCACAATGTTTCTCTGCTTGGCCACTCCACAAGAAACTGGAGTCTTTGATGCATGATGGTAACAATTTTGTGGAAAATTCTTGATGCTGTGGAGCATGATACTCCAAACCTGTAAGCTAAATCCTGTAGTGGAAGATTTAATTTCAATCTCATCAGAACCAAAAGTATTTGTTCGAACTTTCCCAAAGAAGATCTCTTCGTATGTGTTATAAAGGGTTCACAAAGGTTGAAAACTTGTAATAGTACCAGGAAGTTTGGCAGCCCAGTGTAAAACTTGGTCTTGTCCTTATCCTTTTCAAAGCTTTTTCTACTGATTAGTGCTTCAAGGGCTTTCTCTTTAAGTGTGCATAGTTCCTCATTGCATCTCTTTATGTCTTCTTCCATTGACTTTAAATAGTTGACTGTTAGGTCTGTTTGGCACTCTACATGTTGAACCTGTCTTTCAGTCTGGCATTCAGCATGGTTGATATTTGACTCTATTGAAGCAAAACTATGAATAAGTACAAAGTTTTTCAAAAAGCAAATATAAAAATACTTTTACCTTGTTGTAAATATAAGTTATTTTCTCCTGGGTGTTCATGTTCTTGTTGGACGTTAGACTCCAGTCGAGCCAGCTTTTGTAAATCAAGGAGGGCAACGGCTGCTTCGGAATGGCGTCGTTTAAGGTCTCGCTTTTTGGTCCGATCGTTTCTTTTAATGGCACTTTCACGAATAGGTTTTAATTTCTGGTGACCCAATTTAAGTGTAGGAGCCCAATCAACGTCGTGTTCGTCGTAGACATTGCTTGGATGACCTTGGAAACAAAAAAATTATGAATGTAAACAATTATATTCATAGAGTCTATAGACATTTTGCAAGGCGCTTCAGTTCAAACTCTTTCGCAATTGGTTTTAATATTGAATCACAAAGTTCGTCTACGCACCTTTAACAAAATGTTCACCACATACGCGGCATGGGGGCTTTCGATACCTTTCGAGGACAATGAAAGGTTTCTGAGCCACTTTTCACGACGTCTATTTGTTAGTTTTTTTAATGTTTCCCCTTTATGGAGAATTTCTTTCGGTATCCTATAATAGCCTTTATCCTTTTCTCGATTAGCTCGATTAGAGCAAGTAAAAACTGAACAGCAATCCGGCATATTTGAATAATGAACACAGCTGGAAATATGAATACGTAATGACAGTGGAAATACTAGAAGTGACGTCTATTGCAAACAAAGAATACCAATTTGCAAGGACAGACATCGGTAAAACACAGTCCCCCAACCCTATATCATTTTCTGATGAAACTGAAGATGATAGTTCCGACACAGATGAGGACAATCTGAAAAAAAACGACGCAAAACTCGAAATATCGGCAAAAATATTGATTATTTCAAAAAGCAAATAACTTGTTTTGAATAGAGCCTACGCGACTGTATTCCTTACATGACGTCACAACATGTACTGGATACCAGACCCCATTAGGAAATAAATGTAGGGAAAATCTGGACTTTTAAACCGTAATTGGAAAGAAAGCTTTGATCCCAATTCATTTGTTTTCTTAATTATTTAGTTTTCAAGAACTACTCGTTCAAACTATACTAAAATCATATTAGATTTATATGCCCCGTAAAATTCAAACAAATAATGTTATTTTGTATCTACGTTGAATTTATTTTTATTTAAAAAGAAGCAAATACAAATCAAATCAATTTTGAAATTATAAAAAAATCAAAGCGTATACTAAAATCCTTTTAGCCTAGAAGTGCCACCGTATACCACAATGCTCAGCGTGATGCACGTGCTTCAGCATGAACAGTGCTAAATACAAGATTACAAGATTACAACAAACTTTTTTTGCCAAGTAAAAAAGATCTGCATTATGAATACTGCTATGTTTTTGACATTTTCATACTGCTAGTTTAGCATAATACATCTACTCTAGTAATAGTTACAGCAAACAACAGAAGATGAAAGTAGACCACCTATCTAATATTATAAATGATTAAATACGAATGACTTCTGTACCTTTGAAACAAAGAAGTATTGGGTTTCATACTATACATTAAAAAGGGAGCAAATAAATAGTAAGCATCAATTCATGCACAGGGCAATACATGCTGCTCTGCTACGAGCCAATGAAATTACAAGATTCGTCAAGACAAACGCTAGGATTAGAATGAGCCCGCAGGTTTAGTTGTGCATTGTAAGTTTCAGATCATTAACAATAGTTATTTTATAAGGAATCCATTGTTTTTAAACGATTGGACAACAAAATATTTACATAATACGAGGAAACCTGGGGGCTGACTTCTTAGTCGGCTCTAACTTGAGGGCCACAGATTACAATAAATATCGTATTTATTACTACGCACATGATACATTAAAAACAAAAAAAAACAGTTTAATGAAATCTACTATATATCAAATATGGCATGTTACTCTCGTACCAGTCCACATGAACAATTTTGCGCTGAATTTTTCACCTTTCATTTTCACGCAATGAAAAATACGAAAAGTGTCATGAAAAGCGAACATAGTAGGCTCGTTTTCGCTGCCATGTGCGACCAACTTGCGGTGGCTGAAAAGGAAAAAACGACTTAAAGTTACAAAACGATAAAAAGTCCCAGGTAATTGACAATATTACAATCATGACATCGTGGAAAGATAGCTCAAACTATGTTTTTAAAGAAAAAGGGGGAGGGGGATATGAAAGTACATGCGTTACAAAAACAAGCAAATTGTTAAAAATAGAGAAGAAGGTTGTCGCTTTCAATAAAATTATCCGTTTTACGATACTGAAAACAGTTGTAACAGTTTGAAATAGGAGCCTCGTTTGAGCTTTATGTGATCATAAATTAATCTTACAAATGTACGAACCTCTCGCCTCAACGGAACTCGAAAAATATCTGTATCCACCCAAAGTGACATTACCCACACATGAGTACTTCCCATGCGTGCTTGTCGTAAGTTTTACTTCGTTCCCTTCATTTTTCTCTAAAATCTTGCCACCGCGACGCCATGACAATATTCCACGGCCTATAGGGATGACTTTGCATGTGAGAGTCGTTGAACTACCGCTGATCTTTCTCGTGGCTTTTACTTTTGGCATATTTTTTTCTGACAGAAAAAATTTTTTCAACGATTGTTAATGGTAACAAAATTGAAATTCCAAGCTAGGGTGTAGATTTGACAATCAAATTATTGGGGTTTTTTTAAAAAAATTATAAGTTTGCACTTTTCAACATCAGATCACGGAGGAATCTAGACGGGAGTATGTAAGAACACAAATTTCAACATCAGATCACTCCTGATGAAGAGACTAGACTGGAGTATGTAAGCACTCACGTTTTAACATCAGATCACTCATTATGAAGATACTATACTGGAATATGTAGTGACTGACGTTTTAACAACAGATCTCAAATGATGAAGACACTAGACTGGAATAAGCTCTCAAGTTTCAACATCAAGACTCATACCTGTAATGACCATTATTGGAACTCCGCTGCTTCTGACTCGTTCTTGTTCGCTATCTCCAATTTTGGCAAGACAATAATAATCACCGGAATAAGACAGTCGAGCGCTTGAACGCGTAAGGGTATGGATGGTAGTGAAAGCTAAATTGCATTAAGAAAATAAAAAGCTTATGTTAATCGATTTCAATATTAAGATAAAATAGAAATAGAATTTTCTTATGTGTTTTATCGTTCTTCAACAACTGATTGAAAACTGATCGACAACCTTACCTTGGTTAAACACGACAGGACTTATAAAGTCAGTAAGATTTGTTCTTATGAATCTGCTGTCGATGTGGTACCATTGTATTTCCGGCTTTCTATCCCTGTGTGAGGCTGAACAAGTAATTTGGAATGTCTCTCCTTCAAGCACAGTGAAAACGTTGAAGTGCACTTTAACTGAGATAATATTGCCTGAAAAAGTCCGATTGGATTAGAGAAACTACTAAAAAATATGAAGTAAATGGTTTGAGCCCGAGTATCATGTTTGTAAATAGATCGTCCAGGTTGGTATAGTCCTGAGAAGGACTGTTTTTGTTGTTGTTGACTGACATTTCGACAACCTTAGCGGTAGTCATATTCAGAGTCAAAATGGTCATCTTCAGAGTCATTATGACTCTGAATATGACTACCGCTAAGGTTGTCGAAACGTCAGTCAACAACAACAAAAACAGTCCTTCTTAGGACTATACCAACCTGGAGGATCTACATTTACAAACATGTAAAAAAATATGATCGAAAAAGTCTAACTGACCCGATAAAATGACATAAACGAAAAGTGCGTTTGCATCAATGAAACTGCGTAAGAAATCTGGTTAAAAGCTAATTCCAACCAAAATCCAATTTTAGTTTTTACAATAGTTACAACGCCGCTAACAATATTAGTTTCAAATATTTCTCGACCGTGATTGGTTTATTGCAGTGCAGTTTATCTATAATTGCACTGTGAAAGTCTGTATTGCACTGCAGTAAAGTGCAATTGCACAACAGAAATTTCTGTAATTGCAATGTAGAAAAGATGTAATTACATTGTGAAAATGTGTAATTGCACGGTAAGTACTGTTACCTGATTAGCTGAAAAGCAGTGATACCAAACAATTTTCTTTTCGATCAAAAAAAACATGGCGGCAGTAGCAAGTAAACAAAGATTTCCAAAATTGCAATGGTGCGAAATTTAAGAATTAAAAAACAATGCAACGAATAAAAACACAACAACAAGTACAAAAAAGTTTAAGATAGATGCGCCGCCGCAACGCAACGATCCTTTCCAGAAGCGATAGACTGTAACAAAGCGAGAAAGAGGTATATGGTATTTTGCGAAACATTTCATAGTATATTCTTATAGCAAGTCAATAGTATAGCCTCTCCTGCATTATGCACTCGCGAATTTTTTAAAGATGGAAAATCTTTCGTTGCAGTCTTTAAAAAACTCACGAGTGTGCATGCTTATAAGCAATTTCACTTGAAACTACTTATACCTGTAATTGCATCCCAGTTAATCACACGGATATACTTAATGACTAATGTACAAAATATTTATGTTGATCAATGCCGAGTTCTATCATGCGTCATAGCGCGAAAGCTCCATTTTGGCTAAAGTCAAAACACTACTGCGTGCACGACAACATGATGAATAAGAGAATAGACAATGCATGTGGCAGGGCTAATAAGATGGATTAATAGTTCAGTTCCATTTGTATACGATTTGCATATACATTCCCACACGTATGTAAATTAATAAATTCCTCGCTTCTCAATTGAGTGAACCTAAAACTCAACAAAAGGTGTCAAACTCAAATGTTGTCAACTACATCATTTGATCAGAAGAACATTTTCCTTATGAAAAGTATAGGTCACATTCAAACATGTACAACACATAAGCTTAGGTGAGTCTAAAGTAAACCTAACGCGACGATTGCCCTCAACAACACATAGGTGTCATATTATCATCACGATATTTACGTTTCAATTTCGATTCTGGTCAAAGAAGCTAGTCATCCATTGTATACATGGCTCAGAAGTTCAAGAATCTACTGTGTACATATTTTGGTCTCGTCATTCTTCAACACGTCTGCATTTTTCGCTACCGAATAAATCGAGACAAAATTATTTATTTGCAACTGAATGCTTCTGTCTGAATTCGTTTCTATCTCTTATCTACTTCTTATATCCTTACAATGTAATATACTTTAGGGGCCTGACCAACTCCACAGGGGACTGGGAAATGTTAAAAACCCGACTTTACTAAACAGCTGAAAATCAGTATAAACAACATGCTAAAGTCTCGATAAAGTTGAATGCAATTAAATACTACAAAGGATGAGTTAAAACTGTCAAATGTCTTTCTATACTTCCGAATCATATCACCAAATTTTAACAAATGACATTGGGATTATACATTAACGATACTTTCAGTCCGTATTGAATACTATCTTATGAAACGACTGGCATAGCGTTGGAACACTTCAGTGTTCTATTTCATAGTTGTAGCACTGATTACGTTGCTCCCAATACCGTCATATCTCTACCGATTCAGTAGCAAATCATGAGTTTATTTGACACCGAATGCGTCAGCCATCTTAAATTGAAATATAAAATGTGTTTGTTGTAGAATGAAACGACAAAGGTTTCAAATGTTCAAAAATGTTCACATTCATCCTCTTGTTTATGATAGTATTGATGTACTTACCAGATGTTAAAACGGTAAAGAAACCCACAAATAAGCAAACGAGAATCGAGTTGTCCATTGCCAAATTCGTCACCTTCCTTATCTCTTTCAAAGATTTTGTTTGTGCAAATATGTTGCTAATGCGTTGAGCATAAATTATGACGTATTAGTTCGCTCACTTTGGAGTGTACCCCCAAATTCCGTACTTTGTCGCATTTCATTTGACACGAAAGAAAAATGTTTTGAAGAATTTCAATTGCTCAGCTTTGAAGGCTGAGAGTGTAATAAAACACCGATAGTATAAGATTGCTGACTTTGTTGTTGATTTTTTCGCATCACTGCGGTCAGTGCAAAACAAAAACTCTTTCGCCCTGAAAATTAACATGAAAATTTATTACCTATTTATTCCACTCGTGAAAACAATAAAAGTCAGTCGAGCAATCAAGAATGTCAGAAATATCAAAGATTAAGGCTGACTCTGACTCAATTAAAGATCTATTCAAATGAAAAAAAGATTCGGAGCACTTTTTTAAACAGACTCGAAGTTCAAATTTCCTAATATTCCTAAACGACATACTGTAGGCAAATATATTGTCCGTTTTGGTATTTAGCATAGGAGATACCTTTTTAAAGAAAAGGCATTTTATTTAAAGGACATTGGCAACGAAAATTTTTATGGCATATTTTTGAACCTTTTTTCAAAAATATTTTGTTGCTGAGATATTTGCAGTAAACGTTTTATAAATTTCGTCATCTTGGATAAAATTTTGATAAAATTATCTCGAGCGGTAGTGACGTCATTGGCTGGTGTATACCATGCACATAGATATAGGAGGTCTACTATATCTATGACCATGCACGATATATTTTTTGGCTAAACAGTATTAAAGTTTGTGATGCATTACGTAACGTCACACTACAGCGTTCTTCATCGTTTGTTATCTTGATGGCACTCCATTAAATTACAGAACCGTGCATCACACTACATCACAATGTATCACAATGTATCACAATGTATCACACTACATCACAATGCATCACACTACATCACAATGTATCACTCTACATCACACTACATCACAATGCATCACAATGTATCACAATGTATCACACTACATCACAATGCATCACACTACATCACAATGTATCACACTACATCACACTACATCACAATGCATCACAATGTATCACAATGCATCACAATGTATCACAATGCATCACAATGTATCGCAATGCATCACAATGCATCACAATGTATCACACTACATCACACTACATCACAATGCATCACAATGTATCACAATGCATCACAATGTATCACAATGCATTACACTACATCACACTGCATCACAATGCATCACAATGTATCACATGCATCACAATGCATCACACTACATCACACTGCATCACAATGCATCACAATGTATCACAATGCATCACAATGTATCACACTACATCACAATGTATCACAATGCATCACAATGTATCACACTACATCACACTGCATCACAATGCATCACAATGTATCACAATACATCACAATGTATCACACTACATCACAATGCATCACAATGCTTCACAATGTATCACACTACATCACACTGCATCACAATCCATCACAATGTATCACACTACATCACACTGCATCACAATGCATCACAATGTATCACAATGCATCACAATGTATCACACTACCTCACAATGTATCACAATGCATCACAATGTATCACAATGTATCACACTACATCACACTGCATCACAATCCATCACAATGTATCACAATGCATCACAATCCATCACAATGTATCACAATGCATCACAGTGCATTGATTTGCAAACATCTTTTTTGTACATTATGATAGTGCTAGCTTGGGTTTTAGCTAATATTAAAAATTTCATGGGAAATACTATTATTATGCATATTATGCAATCTCGATTGCAATTGGCTAAGAACCTAGCTACACTGCTATAGATGACATATTATATAATTATTTATGCAAAATTGTAAATAAAAAAGTATAATGACAGACTCTTGCTCGATATTTGCAAGCGTTTTGCAAACTGTTTTCGCTCGAATTATAGAGTATTAAGACGTAAAAATAAACGGAATGGATAAAATTGTCAGTGAGGAGAGTTTTCATCGAGTATTTTCGGGAGAAAGACGAATGCGACACTGCGGACATACGTCATTCGAGTGTGATAGTGTGATGTTGTGTGATGTATCACAATATTGCTAGCCAAAGTAGCAAAAAATATATCGCGCATCAGATGAGAATTTAGGGACAATATGCTGCCAGAAAGTGTGTTAAAGGTAGACGTGTGTCGGTATCTTGAAGAAAACTGGCCCCTGTCTGATGAGGATCTGGAGAGAATACACAAGCTGTATCGATTAGGCGCATATCAAAGATGTTCTAGGTGGATTTTTCAAATTTTAGGGAGTAAACATCGAAGACCATTTCCTGCTTGTGTTTATGCTAGCATACGAAAACGCTCGCGTCACCAGACGGACTTTACACACATTTTAAATACGCATATTATCACGAAAGACCGTAAATTTAAAGTCTTAAGGCTCTTTTCCACTCATCGCAAAATGCTCTCGCTGCGAGGTTGCGAGTCTGTTCGCACGATCAAAAATTTTTGTTCAATTAATTTAACTATGCTGCAAGTCATAGTAAGCTCGCTGCGAGTAACTCGTAGGCACTCGCAGCGAGCTTGCGAGTACGTTTTGCGATGAGTGGAACATAGTAGCTCGCTGCGAGTAACTCGTAGGCACTCGCAGCGAGCTTGCGAGTACGTTTTGCGATGAGTGGAACAGAGCCCTAAGTCTGCAAAAATAAACGTTTCTACGTCTTAGAACGACTAAATATTGGAAAAGTATATAAGCGTGATATACTACACATCTTTTGTTAATCTTAACAAACGCCGACTGTTGTTTTTGTTTTAAAATTCCAGGGAACAAATGTGCTATATATTATTATAAAACTATTATTTTATATTGTGTCATTCAGTTGATACCAGCCAATGACGTCAGTAATGTATTCGGGCATAATTTAGCATAAGGCTTTTTTTCAAAAATGGCAGATAATGATTCAACTTTATGTCAAATTTTCTCGACAGCAAAATTTAAAAGAGACACGAAAACACGAAATTAAGTATTCCATAGCTATCTATGATAAACGTATCAAAAAAAAATTTCATTGCCATTCTCCTTTAAGGTAAAACAAAACAACAAAGGAATAGAAACAGGTTATTTCCAAGTAAACAAATGAGCAGCTTAGTTGTGAATGATTTGGGCGTCTGAAAGGCCCGTTTGGCAGACAAAGGGTAAGCACAAAGCAGAATGGTCATTTTCCAATGTTTAAATTCCTTTCACTCTTCAATTCACAACATAAGTGATAATTAGTAATTGTGATTGGTCAAAAGTCTTTATTGCAATTACATGGTTTTCTTCTAAAAATTTGACAAGACTTACCGTAACTTGTTTCGATAACACCATAACTTGTTTGTTATTTTGTGCCAGAAATCCTAATCGATATTTCTTCGTCTCATCCCAGATTTTAATGACATTTTTAAACAAGCACTATGTCTTTACTTTGTGAAATATTGGACCGAGGTGTTTCTGCAACAATCGAGCTCGTTTGAACAAGGTTGGTGCTAAAAGAATCCACATCACATGTTCATTGTCATGGGAATACTAATTTTTATTATTTTCATTCAAAAAACAGCTTCTACAGGCAACAGTTTGCATTTAAAACTGTGTAAACAAATTTTCCATGAGTACGTAACTTACATATACATGCCATTCAGCTGGTGTACTACATTAATTTCAATCTGTACATCAGTACATCCACTGTGTACATCACTGTTTTACTTGTCACTGTATACATAGTTATACTAACTGCCACTTTCATTTACACGAGACTTAAGTTTTCCAAATATTCTTTTATTTTCTGATCCTGTTTTGCAAGATCGATGCCCAATTTTCTCATGTAATCAGTAAATCCTCTGCTGTTGTCAAAATACTCAAAATCAATCATAAAAATATTCCAATCATTTGCAGGTACAGGAATTGAGTTTGAGGAGCTACCATCAGAAACATAGACATTACCATAGTAAATTCGAAACTCGCGAAAGTAATCTCTGACCAAATGTTCCATGGATTTATCAATCCAGTAATCATTATCATCATATTTCTCAAAGATTTTCTTCAAGGCAGGGGGGACGTTTGCTGGATTTTCACTGTACATCTGATAAATCATTGCACGATAATCACTGGTGTCAAATGTAGCATGAACGTCACTCTTTCTCATGCTTCCGAGGTCGATAATGATGGGATCATTGCTACCATTACAAATCATGATATTAGCACATCTCAAGTCGCAGTGAGCGAGTTTATATCCGTGAATGAAACTCACTGTTTCAGCTACACGTACAGCAATACGCAATTTGTCATAATTCGATAACTGCTTCTTTTCAATTGCTTCAGACAGGGGTCTTCCATTGATGCATTGCATTGTTGCATAAATAATGGCATTTTGAGAGGAATTTTTGACAATAACTACAGCACTTACTTTCCCATTCGTTTCTATGGTGTGCGACTTCACGATTCCATAATGGCCAATTGAGGTTACGACCATGATTCGGGCAATCTCCTCAATTATCTCTTTTTCATTTTCTATTCTTAGCTTTTTAACAAGATGTTCCCCCAGACTTGCAATATGTGACGGTGCATTCTCAGTTGGTTTCACTCGGAAGCATTCACCAAATGCTCCTTCTCCAATGGGCGAAAACTGCAGATATTCGTTCATGTCCTTGTCCTCAATACAAAAGAAACGGAATTCGTCGAAGCTTCTGGCCAATAATCCAACGTGTGATTCTGTTCTCAATCTGAAATACGCCTGATAGATTTGCGATCCTATTTGTATATTTTCTTCCTTCTTGGTTTCCATTGACTTGTCAGCCATTACAGGGATTGAATCGCTTTGTCTTCTTATCTTAAAAGTTAACAAAGATTTCCGATTAATCTCTTTTAAATCATACTATATGGCCGGAATAGAAGCAGACCATAATTTTATTTAGGATCTGTTCATAAAAGACGGGCCAGCCCGGATAAGCCAAGAAAACACAATGAAACACAATGAAACACAATGAAACGCAATGAAACGCGTGCACTAAGTGGACTCCAGCTGTGTTTGCATTAGCCTATGCAAAACACATCTGAGCTTAACCATTCAAATCAATCATAACATTCAATCAATCGATCAAGAGAATTTGAAAATCGATCATGAGTACATTTTAGAGAAAAAATTAAATGTTTGTCTTTTTCCGTATCATTGTTATTTTTTAAAAGAAATAAAAGATGCTTTTCGTGTTTGCACTGGCTTATGCAAACCTCGGAGACGTTTGTAAGAACTCTCAAGCAGATACAACCCTCGACCTTCGGTCTCGGGCTTTCATTAATCTGCTCTCGAGTTCTCCCAAACATTGCATAACCCTGCATGTGCAAACACTTCTTAAATGTTTTTTAAATTGCGTTCATATGAGCTAGGAAGAGCCGGCAAGCCCGGTTGAACGAGATTTTGCGTGAAGGAAGCGAAACACAACATTGGGTCGCGGAAATTAAATACTACAACAATTTAACCGGGCCAGCCAGGCTCATATGAACGCGAATAAAAATAAAACAGGCCCTTTGTGTGCGCTTCAGTCTGTGATGATTGCACGCCATGAGTGGAATAGCGTTGATGTTGATTACGAAGGACACAATCACTTTATACTTTTTACAATTTAGTTGCAAATCATGAAATGATTTTATATGAAAAGAGTCATCGCACGTTCTATAGTGAATGCGTTCGTTGTAGACTGTTAAGTTTAAACACAAAGAATTTCGCAACTTCTCTCACATTTCACGTTTAAAATATCTTCATTTGTACCTACCTTTTAAAACGATGCAAAGAAACAAACAAGCAAAGGAGAATCGGCCAAATTGAGTTTATCTGTTGCCAACACTCTTCGACTTCCTTATCCTTTCAAAGAATTTTTTTATGGGGACATGTACTCCTCCAAAGTTTTCCGTCGCTCCAACGATTGCCGGAAGTGAGCAGAGTGCCACGTTCAAATTCTTGGCATAGAATAGAGAATATTTAGAAGGCAACTCGCGTCGGTAACCTTTGATGTAAGCGTGGCGCGCAGTTTGTTTCCAGTGAACTCCATATATATATATATATATATATATATATCTGGAATGATAACGACAATACATTTTATAGATATAAAATTGAAGCCAAAGTCCTAGTCTCTTGCGCGGTTTGTACGTCAGTTTCAGTCCTTCAAAGTCGAATATTCACGCGGTTTGTACGTCAGTTTCATTCCCTGAGTGCCAAACATACAAGGCCAATATAAATTTGAATACAAATTGCGAAAGCATAAACATATAAACAACATCTCGACAAACAACACACGAGGCCAACTCCTCGCAAAAGGTTATTTTTTACAGCTGAAACTTTACTACAGTGAGTTCGTTGTAACTTACAACTTGTAACGAGGAAAAGCCAACTGAAAATTACACTGTATGCTAAAAAGACAATACAATAGAAAATATGACGAGAAAATATTCAAGCATAAACTTTTCTTTCGTCGGAAGGTAAATTTTCAAACGGTGTCAGACAGTGTTTGACTTTTTTTGTCATTTCAGTGGATTTAAAGATCTGTTTTTCCGAAGAAAAAAGAAACTTGAATATCCAGTTTCATAAGAAATATTGAGTCTATAACTCGCATTTTTACTTTTTACAGAGCGATTGTATTTTTCATCGATTTTTATTGTGCTTGAAATACTACATGGTTGTCATCTCGATATCAATAATTGAATATCCTTAAAGACTTTGCATGTTTGTAAATGTAGATCGTCCAGGTTGGTATAGTCCTGAGAAGGACTGTTTTTGTTGTTGTTGACTGACGTTTCGACAACCTTAGCGGTAGTGATCTTCTCTTTGATTCACTTGACTCTGAAGATGACTACTGCTAAGGTTGTCGAAAAGTCAGTCAACAACAACAAAACAGTCCTTCTCAGGACTATACCAACCTGACGATCTACATTTACAAACATGTAATGATACTCCCGGTTCAAATCATTTACCTTAAAGACTTTGATATGTTTTAAAGGAAAACCGCAGCGTAAGAGCAGATCGACCAAGTTCACCTCACCTTGCTTCTCGATTTATCACTTTGATTCACTTTCCGTGAACCTTTTCATTCCAAAAATTTCGTTATTTTTACGCTCTGATCAAGATCCGAACTCTACCATTACCAAGGGACAAATGATTTTCTGTGCGCTTGCGTTAGGTCCGCCATTACTCTGGCCAGTAACTTGACGCTGGCATACTATAAAATAATATTGAAAAGTGCGCTTTTGGGATAATAATCGCCTAAAATGCTAACTGTTTTGGAAGATCATGGAATTTTGTGACAAAACGTGAAAGAAATAAGGTGAGAGGCCATTATTTAATTGCTGGCAAGTCCGTAAAGGTTTTTTATTGGCAAAAATTACATGTTACAATGTAGGGTGTTTATTTTACTGCTATAGAGTTGTAAGGACTTATACGGACGCGCATTAAAAGTGCCGCAAATGTCCAAGTGATAATAAAGCTTCTGTCAGTCAAGTCAACCCCACCTACTCGTGGTGCAGCCTGTGTTTGGCTAACGGGCTATGGCGAGGGCGAGTTTCCGGCGCCATTAAATTAACTGGAAACCGCTGCCTTGCGGTTAGGGTTTGACTGCCCAAAGGCTAAGGGTGAGGTAACCCTGACAGAAACCTCCGGAGGACAAACCCCCCGCAGTCACGACAGGCCAAGCCCACCGACGTGTGGACACGCCCTGCTGTCTGACAAGTTTTGCCCAGCTATGGATTAAATAGTCCCCAGCTATGGGTAAATGGTCTTCGGCGTAACGAGAAAAACGCCAGCAAAGGGCACTCACGGATTAACTGTGTCGACGGCCTCTCCCTGCAACCGCGTAGTTTCACAGTCGTCGCGATCGTTTGTGCCACTGAAGATTGGAATCGCGTGGCCAAGCCAATAGAACATGGCCTGCACAACCATGCTCTTCTCACTGTGCATGCAGTCTGCAATCAAAGTCCTTAAAAGTCCATCAATACGGATGGCTCATGAAGGGGGCAGGTTTAGTTGGCTGGCAGCCTCTAGTGCGAAATTCGATTGCTGGGCTTGGATTCTAACAATCGCTGGATAGAATGAGAGATAATATCCTTCGGTATTTCACCAAGCGACAAGGATGCCCTTTTAGGGATGCGCACCTCCCCAATCCGGGAAGCTCCTAGAAAAGGTGGAGTAAAACGCACTCATCACTCGCCTGCTCAGTACACCACGGCTGGGGGTACTCACTCAAAGCGGTCGAAATAACAATGAAATTCGAAAACTTGCGGCCTGGAACGTAAGAACCCTAAATGACAATCCAGAAACATTCGTCCTGAGCGTTCTACCGCTCTTGTAGCCCGTGAGCTACATCGTTATAATATTGACGTTGCTGCTCTAAGCGAGACAAGACTCCACGATTCAGGATCACTCACAGAGGCAGCGGGCGGATACACTTTCTACTGGAAAGGCAAACATTCTTCAGAGAAACACGAATCAGGAGTTGGCTTTGCTATCAAGTCCTCCCTCCGATTATCTGAGTTTCCAGTTGGACATTCGGTCCGCATCATGTCACTTCATTTGCCGTTGAATAAGCAACGTTCGCTCCATCTCATCAGCGTGTATGCTCCTACTATGCAGCATTCTGACATCATGAAAGATGCATTTTATGAAGATTTGTTAGCCATCATTCGCACTATTCCAGCCCACGACAAATGTATCGTCCTTGGCGATTTCAACGCTAGAGTTGGCAATGATTTCCACACCTGGCCATCCGTTCTCGGTCACCATGGCATCGGCAATGTAAACAGCAATGGTAATCTTCTCTTGACAATGTGCGCTGAAAACAACCTGACTATCACCAACTCGTACTTCCAACTACCAAACAAATTAAAGACAACATGGAAGCACGCTCGCTCTGGTCACTGGCACCTAATTGACTACATCATTACAAAGTCAAAAGACATATCAGACTTCGATGTCACTAGAGTCATGCGAGGTGCTGATTGTTGGACGGACCATAGACTTCTAATTTCAAAGGTGTGTCTCAAGATCGGCAAACCTGCACCCAGAAAAGCTCAGAAAATTCCGAAGAAATTCTGCGTCTCGAAACTCAAATCAGAAGACGTCGCAACATCCCTCAGAACCTGCATCGACGAACAGCTACAGAATATCGCTGCTCCAGAGTGGGATAGTCTGAAGACGGTTCTTCTTAACTCAGCTGAGATTGTCCTTGGCTACCAAAAGCATTCTCATAAGGACTGGTTTGATTAGAATGACGTAGAAATTGCCGAACTAATGAAAGCAAGAATGAATGAAATCGGTGACAGACTAAAGGAAATAAAGAGGACCATAACGAACAGACTCCGAGTTATGAAAGACAAATGGTGGCAAGAATGCGCAGAAGGACCCAAAGATATGCTGACACTAGAAATGCGAAAGAATTGTTTAGGTTGCTGAACGTCATTTACGGGCCAAAAAAGAGCTCTGTTGTCTCGCTGCTCAACTCAGACGGTACCAAGCTCCTTACGACATCCGACGACATCCGAGAACGGTGGACTGAGCAATTCACACAGCTTCTAAGCGAGACCAGCATCTATGATGAGGATAACATCAACAACCTCCCTCAACGACCTATGATTGACACCCTTGGTGATGTTCCCCCTCTCGAAGAATTTGAAAATGCCATCAAACATATCAAGTGCAACAATGTGCGGGCCCTGATGGAATTCCACCAGAATTATTTGTGCGCGGAGGACCCTTGGTTACAAAACATCTGCATGGCATAACTGAAAAGACCTGGTCCGATGAGACCATTCCTGCTGAACTCCGTGATGCAAACATTATCGCCATCTTCAAGAAGAATGACCGCCATAACCCCAACAATTATCGAGGCATCAGTCTGTTGGCTGTAGCCGGGAAAATATTCGCTCTAATGTTGCTAAACAGAATGCGCGATCCTATTGCCGAAGCAGTACTGCCAGAAACCCAGTGTGGATTCCGCGTAAATCGTGGAACGAGTGATATGATATTCGCCCTTCGACAGCTCATGGAGAAATCGAGAGAACAGGACCAAAAGCTGTACATGACTTTTGTTGACTTTACCAAAGCGTTTGATCTTGTGAACCGTTAGGCACTGTGGACCATTCTCGCAAAAATGGGCTGCCCACCAAAATTTGTCAATATCTTAAAGTTATTACATATCAACATGTGCGTCAAGATTTCGGTAGGCGACGAGTTGACTCGTGACATTCAATACAACAATGGAGTGAAGCAAGGTTGTATACTTGCTCCCACCCTCTTCTCCCTCTTCGCGACTGCTCTCTTCACATATGCCTTTGAAAACATACCTGAAGAAGGCATATACATACGATCCAGGATGGATGGCTCGCTCTACAACCTTCGTCGCCTCCAATCCAGCACCAAATGCACGCGGACACTGATGAGAGAATTTCAATACGCAGATGATTGCGCTTTTGTTGCCAACTCGGAGGAATCCCTTCAGCGCATGATGGATAGCTTCGCGGCTGCTACCAAATCCTTCGGCGTGATCCTCAACACGAAGAAAACAGAAGTCATGTCTCTCTCGTACTCACCGATAACATCCCCGATCACTGTCAATGACACTCCGCTCGCAAACGTTCAATCCTTCGAGTATCTTGGCAGTACTGTTACCAGCGACTGCTCCATTGACAAAGAACTTGACAACCGCTTACAGTGTGCCAGTTCGTCATTCGGCAGGCTGTGGAAACGTCTGTGGTCTTCGCATGACATTAAAAATACTACAAAGATCACCGTGTATAATGCAGTGGTACTGTCGACTCTCTTGTATGGTGCCGAATCTTGGACGTTATACCGTAGACACGTCACACGTCTCCGTCGGCTACAACAACCTCACCTACGTGCAATCCTCCGCATTTCCTATCAACAAAGAGTAACGAATGACGAAATTCTGACGAGAGCCAACTCCATGGACATTGAGATTACCCTCGCCAAAATGAAGCTAAGGTGGGCTGGTCATGTTGCTCGCATGGCAAACAATCGATTACCCAAACAGCTACTTTTTGGAGAGCTCGCTGAAGGAAAAAGACGTACTGGTCGTCCGCTCCTGCATTGGAAAGACTCTCTCAAATACATTTTGAAAACATGTCAAATTTCAATAGATGATTGGCAGCTCGAAGCGGCGGATCGATGCGACTGGAGAGACAAGTCACGTAACGGTTCAACAAGATGGATGATTTAAGGCGGCGGAGCAACGCTGTTAAACGATCAAGACGTCACGCTACCAGGAACGCCTCCACTGTCGCAGACTCGGGAGAATTTCATTGCCAACACTGCAACAGGACCTGCGCAAGCCGCTTTGGCTTGTTAAGCCACGAGCGCGCTTGTGGAAGTCAGACAGCCATCGTCGATTCGACGGGCAGCATCATCATATAGAGTTGTCAGTATGTTAGGTGAATAGAAGTCCAGAAGTAAAATCTCTTGCGTTCTCGTCCATTCTGAATTACAAATTTCAAACTTTTGAGGTGTTATTATAAATGCATTATTTAAAACACAAACTTGTCAGAGTTTTACTTGTACCAACGCTGTAATATTTCAGGTTGCAACTTGCCAACTTGCTAAACTATAAATCAAGTTAATCAACCAGCTAACCAAGTAATCCAATAATGATTCATGATGCTTGTGTGTGAATTATAACTGATAATAATTTGCAACATTCAGTTTCAAACCATGGAGGGTTTGTTTATCATTTTAAGCATTAGTGAAATGTTAATATGTTAATAGTTGGGCATTTTTAATACCAAATGTAGTTTTAGTGAGGTATACACTCTGTTTGCCTTATTTATAAATTTTGCCTTGCTGTAATTTGTGCTCTATTAAATTTATTACCAATAGTTATGATTGATTTTCTGATATTTTTTCTAGTTGTTATTTTGGCATTCAGTTCTCAAGTAAGGATTATGTTGCAAGTGTCTTGTGTTATGTAGTTTTAGTATGTTGGATTAGGTTTTAGTGTCTACTTGTTGCAGTAGCATGTTAAACTTTGTTTGTTAAATTCTATTACGTTTTTATTATGATTGGGTGGTTTTGTAAGGGTGCTCTATTAAACATTGATCACAATTTCTTCAGCTTGTTTAGTATACCAATATTTATAGAGAAATTAGCATTTCTTCTGCACCCCCATCTAGCTTAAGCTAGGAGGGCTGCACACCCTTCTCTTATATTCATCTCTGAATAAAGTTGTCATTATACTTTTGAAATGTAAATATGTGTACTGAATTGCTGTATTTTATTCTGTATATTCTATTGCATGAAATGCACACATTCTAAATTTAAATTGTTTTGTGTTAAAGATTTTTGTGCACCATGTAAATCTTTAATGACAAAGACATGTTTTTAGTCTTGTAACCATTAAGAAAATATAATATTTATTATATTGCTGTTATTTTGCACATATTTTTCACTCAGAAATGTCTTTATCAAAATAAGTTTCCAATGTTATTCAATTCTCAAATCGCCCAAAGCATTGTATATTGGGTTTGCTGTAGATCTTTCTCACGTATGCGTCTCTACTGCAACTTTTTGATTCAAGATTATAAAGTTGTACATTTTCCAAAGCTACTTTTAACTGTTTTCGAATTAATATTGTAGTCATGAGTGAAAAGGTAAAATTAAAAGGGGAAGCAGAACATTTTGTTCTGCTACGAACTGTTCTAAAAGCAAAGCATCTCATCCACAATTGAGTATTTTCCGTTTTCCTAAAGACAATGAAAAGAAATCTGATTTAGGAGGACTACAATCACCATCTTCTCCTTATGTAGAATACATCATCAAACTTGAAGACACATTTATTAAGACGTTTTCTGTCTACACAAAGAGCGAAGGTGTCTGTCGAAGTATATTACACACCGTCAAGTCCATACCAAAGGAATTTGATTGCTGTACGGAATTCCCATTTGAGTTCTTGCAGAAACTTTTGTAAGAATGCGCATTTATTACGCCATAAAATTTGCGAACCGCATATTCGCAACAACTAAAAGAAAGACAGAAAGTACATTAAAGTCACACACCTTTGAGGGCTTTGTGCATATAATTTTTTGTCCTTTATAAAACTAAATTGAAAACAAAAGCTTTTTATATCACAATAATATATTTAACATGTAATGCATCCAAGTTTATTTAAGTCCTCAGGACTTGTGGACCTCAGAACCTGTTCAAGCTTTCCGACTGAATTTCGCTATAAATTTATTAAATAAATGCATTTGTTACATGATATATACAAAATACTTGCCTTTTATTTCAATTTCTTTCAAAAGATGCCAAAAACAGCCAACAGCTCAAAAAATCTACATTTTAACCCACTTTACGGCTTCCACTCCTTATATTTTCATAGTAAATGTTGTACACTTCATTGGCCAGAGTAATGGCGGCCGTCACATTTCCGGTATGCGCGAAACAAACTGGCCCCACGCTTACATCAAAGGTTACCGACGCGAGTTGCCCTTCTATATATTCTCTATTATATGCCAGCGTCAAGTTACTGGCCAGAGTAATGGCGGACCTAACGCATGCGCACGCGTTTCACCTGCGAGTTGCCCTTCTATATATTCTCTATTATATGTTCTTGGGTTGTAAAGTTAGAGACGAAATTTGCATTGTCAAATTCAAAATATAAAAATGTATTTTAGGAGATATAACTGGACTAAGAGCATGGCGCCGCTTAGTTTTGGCAATTGATGGCGAGATCGAAAACTTAAAAGGAGTGTCCCTTTTGGTTAGTTACATATTCCGTGATTTTGCTAAGTAAGTTTGTAATTAATTTTTTAAATAACTGATTTCAATTTTAGTTCAGTGCATAAACGTAAGAAGCTTCATACACAGTGGGGAGTGGAGGAGGGTGTTAATATAAGTATGCCATAATAATCCAAAGAAAACAATGAAGTACTTACGACCGCATTAGGGTTTTATTGAAAATGATGGATTTCAAAAGTTAGTTAACATCTTCTATATTAGTTTTACGAACAGAAAATATTTTTAGAAAGAAAATAGCTCAAAAAACAGAGTACAAAAAGGCAGCACGTCCATATCTCTGAAGTCCAGGAATAAACTTTCAACAATATACGTTATAAAGTAAATGGTCTGAACCCGGGAGTATCGTTACATGTTTGTAAATGTAGATCGTCCAGGTTGGTATAGTCCTGAGAAGGACTGTTTTTGTTGTTGTTGACTGACGCCTCGACAACCTTAGCGGTAGTCATCTTCACAGTCAAATGAGGAGTAAACGTCAGCTTAGCCGGTTAGCAAAATAATTGACCATGTGAAACCACAAAGAAATGAAAACGTCAAGTTTTGTTCCATATCATTCTACAAAGCAAAACAAAACATGAGATGCTTGCATTCTTTTTTGTTTTTCTAGTTAACATTCACCATTAACTTCATCCTGTTATCCACATAAATAGTTAGTTGTGGTTAATACTAAATCGTGCAGTTTCATTGAAGGATTGAATAAAGCAGGGGGATGTATCCTTACGAAAATTTCACATTTGATTTCATATATGAAATGATATGTACAAAAATGATGAATACGTCCAAGTGCTCTACGGTATGTTTGTGTGAAAATGTACTTAAGGACTTTGTTTTTTGCGTGAATGTATTTTGGTTTGTTGTTGTTTCCTTAAAAATTCTAATGAATGTTTAGAAATTCTCTTTATAATCTCAACTATCGCGTATTCTTAACGAATTACAAATGTGGTGTAATAACGCGCGTAGTTCAGCTTATGGATGCATTGTGATTTAGTTGAATGAGCAATGAACAAAACAGTAAAAGTAATAATATGTAAAAGAAAGGATTTCCAACTTTTTTACAATTTACGTTTAAGATTTGTTAATGTACTACTTACCTATGCTAACGCTGCAAAGAAATCAGCATTTAAGCAAAGGAGAATCGACTTAATCGAATTTATCCGTTGCCGACACTTCTCGACTTCCTTATTCTTTCAGAAGAATTTTTTCAGTAACAAGTTGCTGACGTGTCGGGCATAATTAAAAAGATATGACATATTAAGGTGGCTACGTATGCGGGGGAAAGCTTTTCCTTCGCAATATGAACTATAATGTAGAATATGGATCCTCGTATTTCAAACAATCAAAAGTCCAGATCATTTATACTTACATAATTGGATAAGCTGTTCGAGAATTCCGAATTTTTATATGGCAAATAAAAAAGAGTAAAACAAGAAAACGCCTTTATTCTAAAAGTTAACTCACACTCACTGAGTGGAACTTAAAATTACTTCAAAACTATTCCAAGACAGTATTTTCACTTTACTTGCACAAGTTGAAATATTCCAGAAAAATCTTGCTCTTATCGATATTCAGATTTGTCACCACGACAAAGTCTCTATTTTATTATTTAAAAAATCTTGCCTCCGATGGAGAAACCATTTTGCCATTGATCAGTGGGAACATGATTTCTATTTGAAAGTGGGTGATCTTTTGGAAAACGGAATAATTTTTTTCATAAAAGGCTAAATCTGGCAAGCATAGAAAAATAAAAACATTTTTCATATAGGAGCTACGTCGGAATAAGCCGCCGAAAAAATTTAGGTGATTAAAATGTTCCGATATTTTTCAACTTTGGCTCGCGCAAAATCTCCTAGTGTTTTTTTACAAAATTAATAACAGATTAAAGCAAATTTTTCTATGTAAATCATTTGGAGTGATTGATTGCACAACAACCAAAGTATTCCGCGAGATATAAGCTGAAAAACGAACTCTTTTAAGTATTTCAAAATTCAAAACTTGAAAAGTCAATGTTGTAAATCTTGTTTGAAAAACAACATGGCAGATTGCCCAAAATGTTTGGGCAAAGTAAATTTCGTTTATTTTAGCAAATACGATCAATTTTAACCAGTGGAGTAGCAGACTCGTTAATTGGGGGGACACATATTCAAATATTCATGTTCTGCCGCATAAAGTTCTTTTGAAATCCATTGTTTTCAACGGATTATGACATGCAGATATGAATTTGTGCCCCCTCACCTCCAATTAACGATTCTTGTACGCCATTGATTTTCACGTAGTAACTAAAAAAAGTCAAATTCTATTTTGAACTTCATAGTATTTCGCTCACGTATTTTATAACTTGTTTAATATTGTGAAAACGATCACATCTGGGCGGTTGATAAAAATCACCAATTAGCAGCGATATCAGTTGCGTAGTTGTCTCGATAAGTGAGGGATTTTATTCATATATTCATTTCTTGGGGGGATTAACTTCCTTTGAAATCAATTGTTTTTTAAGGATTGAAACATGAATATATGAATATTGTCCCCCTCACTTATCGAACTGGCGACGCCACTGGCAACAGTGCACATCTAGTGGTTTTCTTTTTACATAAACTTTATTTAAACGCGTTAACCTTTTTGGCGAACGCTGATTTCCATTGGTGGAATGCACTGTGCGTTCAAAATGTAACGTTCATGTATTGACTGCCTTCTACAGAAGACCTTTTGAAATTAATCTAATATGAAACACTATTCTCAAGTTACTGGTGCATTTTTTGCTGTTGGAAGTTCTGTCAAATTCTTAGCATCAGAAAGCTTTTGTACTAGTAAAAAAGAAGCTAGTACCTAGTATTGTGTGTAAATAGTTATGCTATTTAGTGTAAATAGTAATGTAAATAGTAATGCTAGTACCAAAGTAGCTAGTATTGTCTGTAAAAAGCTAATCAAATTTCATACATAGTGTACAACATTTATGTGACATAGTTAATTTTTCGCAATGACGATGACATAAGATTGCCAAAAAAAGTTTGCGACAAAGATATGTAATTAATGTACGTAGCCCAAAAAAATTTACAAATTTATTTTCACAAGAAGGTGCAATCATCCCAATACGTCAATTTCTACAGGTTTTCTTTTCGATACACCTTTTAAATTTTATTCGCATATTCAATTGCCTCCGCTCCAACGCAATTAACGCTTAATAAGCAATAAAAACCATTACAAACCCTCCGCTTTTAATTTATAAATTTGCAACAGCTTGTTGCATCGCATAAGCGCTTACGATATTGAATTCGCGCAACTTATAATCTAAAGTTCTATTCTTTTTCAAGCTATCTACACCATGACATCGTACTACACCAAAGACCCGTCAGCGGATGTTAACAAATTTCTGTCATGCAATAGGCGAGTTTTTTTCAGAGTCCGCGTCGCCTTGATCTCTTTCAAGCGTTCTTCGGCAACTGTCTCCATAGTCGCCCGCATTTCTGGAAAATCGTCTAAAACGTCATGAAAATCGCCCTTACTCAACACGAACGTGTCGCAAATTGTCATGGCAACCACGCTCGTAATACGACGAGTGTTCGTAAGAAGACATATTTCTAGAAATAAAATTCATACTTATCAGTGCTGCATAACTGAATATACCAGGCTCTTTTGACGAGGGTGAATGCGTAAAATCCTAAAGAAGGTGTGACGTCATCGTAAGACGTCATAGATGTTCATAAATATAACTCACAAGTCTTGTAAGTCAAAACCCTTATTGAATAACACCTTTACGTTTGGAATAGATCAACTCACAAACGGTCATATCGCGTTATACATGACAAAGCTTGGCAGATTAAACGTTTAAATAATGCAATTGAAAAAATATCCATTTCTGAAGGAGAAAGGGGACTCCGCCCCCATGCAATTTAAGCGAGGAGGCCTTTAACACAAAAGGGGCATTTAAAAGACTTTTCAGGGCTAAGCCTCAAATCCTACATTCCTACAGCCCTAAACTTGAGTTAAATTGTAAATTTACTCTACACAGCCAAACGATGATTTGCAGAACTAACCTCCAAAGTAGGAACCGTCTTTCAGCTGGCCTTGTGTGACGTTGTTTGTTCTGACTTCGACACAGCCTTCCTGCAGGAAATACATCTCTGTCCCAGCCGTTCCCTCCTCAATGATGACGTCACCAGCAAGAAATACCTCGAAACTGAGTTTAGTGATAATGGCCGAGACAAAGAGAGGATTGGCCTGCTTGAAAAACGGAACTGCTTTAACAAGATCGCGGCAATTGTGACTGATAATCTCCTGAAAAAGTGATAGAAGATTAAACTATTAGAAGCGGACATTGAGCTGTCTTTAGAAGTTCTTTTGTACACATTACAAAATAACGAAATATCAATAAATATGCATCACATCCTTTTCTGTTTGCTTTTATTATGCGCTATCCACTAAGTTAAGAAATGAAAGATGTTTACTTTTTTTGTACAGGCTTATGCTAAATAAATCCTGTCTGCGTCTGTGTCCCCCAAATTATCGATTCTCTTATGCTCATGAAATTAAAATCTATATGCTCCACTCTTGCTGTCTTTTATTATCAATAAGTAAGTATCATTACACAACACCTCCCTTATCCATAATTGCCCCTAACTATCTAAATATTCATAAATCTCTAGTCTACGAGTACTTACAAGACGTAAAGGTGAAGAGACTTCACTCAAAATATCTCGTTCGTTGAAAAACTTTCCCTTATAACGGTGATCAAAATAATTCATGACCTTATCACGTGTCTCGTTAGGAAGTTTACGATAGGACATGTACTCAGCAAGCTGTTGAACCTAAGAAAAAAGATCCCTTCGTGTCACATGATGTTCACGTGAGTAGGTTCTTTCAATGCATACGAAAAAACACAGGTTTGAATTAAAGCATGACATCTGCAGGCGTTCATGTTTTTATTTTCTTACAATAAGTGAATGATTTCAACCATGGAGTATCGTTACATGTTTGTAGATGTGGGTCGTCCAGGTAGGTGCTGTCCTGAGAAGGACTGTTGATGTTGATGTCGGTGTGGGTGTTGATGTTGATGTTGGTGTTGATGTTGATGTTGGTGTTGATGCTGATGTTGATGTTGATGTTGGCGTTGATGTTGATGTTGGTGTTGGTGTTGATGTAGTGGTTAGTGTTGATGTTGGTGTTGATGTTGGTGTTGATGTTGATGTTGGTGTTGATGTTGATGTTGATGTTGATGTTGGTGTTGATGTTGATGTTGGTGTTGATGTTGGCGTTGATGTTGATGTTGGTGTTGATGTTGGTGTTGATGTTGGTGTTGATGTTGATGTTGATGTTGGTGTTGATGTTGGTGTTGATGTTGGTGCTGATGTTGGTGTTGATGTTGATGTTGGTGTTGATGTTGGTGTTGATGTTGATGTTGGTGTTGATGTTGATGTTGGTGTTGATGTTGATGTTGATGTTGGTGTTGATGTTGATGTTGATGTTGGTGTTGATGTTGGTGTTGATGTTGGTGTTGATGTTGGCGTTGATGTTGATGTTGGTGTTGATGTTGGTGTTGATGTTGATGTTTCCGTTGATGTTGATGTTGATGTTGGTGTTGATGTTGGTGTTGATGTTGGTGCTGATGTTGGTGTTGATGTTGATGTTGGTGTTGATGTTGGTGTTGATGTTGGTGTTGATGTTGGTGTTGATGTTGGTGTTGGTGTTGATGTTGGTGTTGATGTTGATGTTGGTGTTGACGTTGGTGTTGATGTTGATGTTGTTTTGGCGTTGGTGTTAATGTTGCTGTTGATGTTGGTGTTGATGTTGATGTTGGTGTTGGTGTTGATGTTGGCGTTGATGTTGATGTTGGTGTTGATGTTGGTGTTGATGTTGGTGTTGATGTTGGTGTTGATGTTGGTGTTGATGTTAGTGTTGATGTTGCTGTTGTTGGTGTTGATGTTGATGTTGCTGTTGATGTTGGTGTTGATGTTGGTGTTGATGTTGGTGTTGATGTTGGAGTTGATGATAGTGTTTATGATGGTGTTGGTGTTAATGTTTATGTTGACGTTAGAGTTAGTGTCGATGTTGGTGCTGATGTTGGCAATGTTGTTGATGTTGATGTTGAGGTTGGTATTAATATTGGTGCTGGTGTTGATGTTGGTATTAATATTGGTGCTGGTGTTGATGTTGGTACTAATATTGGTGCTGGTGTTGATGTTGGCGTTGATGTTAGCATTGCCGTTGATGTTGGCGTTGGTGCTGATGTTTGTAATGGTGTTGGTGTTAATGTTGGTGTTGATGTTGGCGCTGATGTTGGCGTTGGTGCTGATTTTGGCGTTGATGTTGGCGTTGGTGCTGATGTTGGCGTTGGTGCTGATTTTGGCGTTGATGTTGGCGTTGGTGCTGATGTTGGCGTTGGTGCTGATGTTGGTGCTGATGTTGGTGTTGATGTTGGCGTTGGTGCTGATGTTGGTGTTGATGTTGTTTGTGTTGATGTTGGTGCGGATGTTGGTGTTGATGATTGTGTTGATGGTATTGATGTTAATGTAGATGTTAGTGTTGGTGTTTATGATGTTGCTGGTGTTGACTGTCGTTTTGACAATCTTAGAGGTTACCATCTTCAGAGGCAAGTGAGGAGTAAATTTCAGGTTGGCCGTATTTGCTGTGGTATTTGATGATGTATAAATCGTGCACTTGGAATACAGTCTCGTGCGTTAGTAGAGAATAAACGTGGACTTACTCTTTCCCGATAATGTCGACGCGATGAATCAGTCTGCTGGATGGCCGCTATACAGTAGGCAAGGCAAATGCCGTAACAAGTTGCACCTGTTATCATGCTAAAACTAGTTACAATAACATCTAGGACGGTTTGTGGTGGGTAACGGCCAAAGCCGATACACAACATATGAGACATCGCCTTGAACCAAGACCAAATGTACTTCGTGGACAACGTCTCGTTCTACGAAATAGAAGCCACCAAATCAGAAATTGTTCTACGGTCGAAACTGTTAAACAGCCATTCCTGGGGGATAAATCAGGTGACCGCTTAGGGGCACCTCAAACGACCGCTTAATGCAGTTTGACCGACAAATACAGTTCTTGTACAAAATTATCACATTTATATCAAATAACCAACCAACAACTGTATAAAACCTCAACTTACTTCTAAGTTTAATTTAGAATTTACACACTTTATGTCAGAGTTAGAGCTTCGGAAAAAGTCATGCCTTTCTTTTGTTTTGGACTGCTCGAACGTAAAGATTTTAACAATTTCTCCAAAAAAGAATCAATTGTATATTCCACTATATGTAATGGGTACTTAACCTAATCGTTTACTACCATTTCAAATCAATGAAAAATTAACTTTGACTTCATGTCTTCTGTGACGGCGTCTTCTTAATGCAGGTGACCGTTCAAAAAACGGTCAATTAAATAGTACTTATATTGTAAAATTTACAGACAGTGACACATGAACGCTTCGGTGCGATAGCCAGCCGGCAAGTTTGGTCGTGCTATGTAAATTTCTTATCGTTGATATTATACATTTCTTTTGGACACACTATATACTTCTTTAGAAATGTTGTTTTTTTACAATGAGTGAACTTTGCAACTTGTGGGCTGGCTATCTTCCGTCAGTCTTCTTACTCGCAAACCATGGATGGTCACCCATGAACCAGTTGGAAAGTCGTTAAACGAAGGTACAATATATTGCAAACAAGCATTCCAGTGAATAATCAAGCTGAGCATTGTGACGAGATGGATAAACCTCATACAGGATTTCGTCCAATTGAATATCTGAGAGATAAATACAGTAAGTTTGAAAGTGATGAATTCAGACTATAAGCAGCGTAAGAAAGTATATTCAAAGCGCGAACTACCGATGGGATCGAAAATCGATTGATTTTTACAAAATGAGAGGGAATGGTTTGCCAAGAGTTGAGCGTCTTCAGCACAAAAAAATATTTTCAAAGCACAAACTGCAGCATCAGAGGAGATCGAAAATGGGATGGCTTTTGCAGGATGTTCCTTGACGAGGGAATCCTTTCATGAAAGTAGAGTGTTTCCATATATATAAAACCAAGGATAACATTGTTTTTCAAATTAATAAAATGATAAAACTCGATTCAAGTCTGAAAAGTATTTTCATCTTAAGCAGAAGTTTCACGAATATATTTTCTGTTCAGTTTTAGTCAATCATGGGGCACGTTAGAAGAGTGTGGGAAATTGAACCTCCATTCAAGCTTTTGAGAAATATGAAAAAAAATTCGGTTGAAAATCTATGTAGAGGACGAACAAAGTCGATCCAACTAAAACTGCAGTGACAGCATGGCAGGGCGGGGCATCCTCCCTTCTCGCTTTTTGAATAAGCTCCTCGGTCAATGAAGTTGTGGGCTTTTGTAACAAATAAAGACACTTCAAAACTAAGCAGTTTTACGTTTAACTTCTTCAACACGAAAACAAACTTACCACTTCATATTGACTAATATAACGTACAAGCCTGGAAATGCGCAGCAAACGCAGAAGGCTCAGAAGCTTGGCAAGTCTCAATAATCTGAGAGCTCGCGATGCTCCGATCAAGTGTGAGTTGTGACGAGTGATGACGGAAATAATATAGTCCAGCGGTAGAGAGGAAAGTAGGTCAATGAGAAACCACGTCCGCAAATATCTGAAAGAAGAAATCGTAAAAACATGATTTAAAAGAATTGAATTTCAAACACTTCTTTACTTTCACACAAGAAGGCTAACTTCATTTACGAAGGGCTTACAATTATTTATGAAAATCCACTAATTGCAACTTTTCTGTTATCACTCACGACTAAAACAGGCGATTCCAAAGGAAATGTATAAATACGTTTTAACTTAACATGGCGAGATATAAATTTTCAGGATGGCTAAATTGGATTAGCTTCGTTTATTCCTCGTTGCAAATGAGGATAGCCAGTCTCGATAAATGGGTTGGGAATGAGACTTGTATTCTTGGATGCGCTGCATTTTACAATTGTTTGGATGAGAACGGTATTATTTAGTATTACTATGAGAAGAACAGTGTTCAAGGCTTTAAAGAACAAACTTTGAGAATATTTAGGAAAAGGAAGACCTTAAATTGCACACAAAGCAAAAGTAAAGCAAGTGAATATTAACAGCACTACCAAAATTAAACAATACAAAACTTTTCCCCATTAAATCGGGAGCAAATGGTGTGTTTGCATATGACTTGAAAGCTGTCATGTTGTTATGTCACCTCTAGTGCAATGAGTCTGATGAAATGTTCATGAAAATTAAAATTCAAGCATTTTCAAGCAGGGTACGTGCAGGGTGTGCGCACTGCCCCGAAACTTCACTAGTCCCTTCACAAGAAAAACCGTAAAATGTTATTACGTAGCTACTGTGATACCGCAGTATTAGAGGCTATGAAATTGTACAGCAAGACTAAGTGAAAATAGAACTTCTTAATTAAAGACAATTACATATTTTATAACACCTCCGTTTGCAATAGACCTTTTCAAGGTTATCGTAGCCATATTGCAGGGGGTGCAAAAACATTGGGCCGAGCGCGCGGTCACGCGTGGCGTCCATATAAATTCCTAATAAATGCGCAAAAATTACCCTTATACATATTGGCCATTTCTTTCAAAAATATTTCTCAAACCCATCCATTTTAATAGTCAAATTATTATTTGCGATTTTTTATACACGTGAGTCCAATTTTGTGGTAATCAAAAAGCGGAAAGTTAAAGAAAACATTTGTTTTATTTGAACAACTTGACCGTCGTTTAAGCGATGTTCTTGAGTTCGCAAATGTGCGGAACTCATAAGCCAAGTCAAACGAACTAAACCCTAAACTAGCCGAGAAGCCGTGAGCAGTCATAGCCGAAATGGTAAAAAAGGCGCGTTGTGCAGTTGGATATTGCGATAATGATAAACGCTATCCCTATTATTAAGTTAAGAGGTCTCACGTAGAAAATTCAGTTTTTCATTAGTGGCCCAAAGATCAAGCACTTGCTGAAATTTGGCGAAAAAAAATTGCAAACAGCAGAGCCGATGACTTTAACCCAAAGCCTGGTGCACAAGGTACTTTAATTTGCTCAAATTATTTTCCCGTGGTAAGAAGAACCCCAAATAACAGCGGAACGGATTATCCTTCGGTTTTTATTACGCTATCAGAGTACGAGCAATCGAGGACTCCGCTTAAACGTAAAGGAGGAGAAACATGGACGACATCAAAGCGTCCTCATCAATCCTATGACACCGAGTATTCTGATTCAAGTTTTGATGGAAATCCAGCAAAATCTGAGGCATCTTTACTCCCTGTCTCTTAGGAATTTCAACAGTTGACGAGAGAGTATGATCACTATGATGTAAGGTTTCACACCGGCCTGCCATCGACTAACAGTTTTAAGTGTGTATTTGAATACTTGGCTCTTTCTTCTTCTGGCTGTTAAGTCGCCATACATAATAATAAAAATAGCAATGTCACTTTACAAATAATTGGAAATACTAATAAGAGTTTGCCGTAGAATAGTTCCTCGTGATACTTGCTGACTTTGCTGTAGACTTGTGCGTGTGTTGCGAACTCAAGAACATCGCTCAAACGACGGTCAAGTTGTTCAAAGAAAACAAATGTTTTCTTTAACTTTCCGCTTTTGATTACCACAAATTGGACTCACGTATAAAGTCGCAAATAATAATTTAACTATTAAAATGGACGAGTTTGAGAAATATTTTTGAAAGAAATGGCCAATATGTAAACGGGTAATTTTTGCGCATTTATTAGTAATTTATATGGACGCCATGCGTGACCGCGCGCTCGGTCCAATGTTTTTGCACCCCTTGCAATATGGCTGCGATAACCTTGAAAAGGTCTATTGAGTATTACCATGCGCGTTTTTATTAAAATTTTAAAATGAAATAAATTACTAAATGCGCATTTATTAAAAAAAAACAAATAAATTTTTTTTAAAAAGGAATTAACACTTTCACTTTAACGTAGTTCACTCAACTGCAAATCTAAAATTCATAATAGCTCGAGACCCTTGCAATTTTAGCTAAGATAACGATGCACTACCCTTCAAAAATTTGCGCCTGTCCAGTCAAATTAGCATCGATTCATCCATGCTTTCAGGTATATCTTAATAAATCCAAGCACTTTCCAAATCTCAAATTTTTCATTTTAAAATCAAGGACATTCAAGTTTTGCATGTACCCTGAAGAAAGGTAAACGAACTTTGAATGAAATTCTTGTTTCACTCACATTATTACGATTTTCGTGGTTCGAGGATAATTTTGTGGTTCACATCGTTCACGATGACACCCGTGCGAAAGTTCAGCACGAGATCGGCGAGGAAGAAAACGTCGGAGATGATATTCAACACGGTCCACGATAACGGCATATCGTCGGTGAAAAACGTTATGACCACAGGCAAGGCAAACATGTTCATGATCAACAATGTCAGCATCAACAAATTCCAATATACTCTACGAAATAACAAAGAAAGTCGCTTGTCTCTGATTTCATATGAGCGCTGGTTAGCACCCGAAAGTCCTTCACTCGCTCTAAACTTCTACGGAGTATCTCGAAAAAATGGAACCCACATTAATTAATTGTGCGTTCACTGAAAATATTATGCACAATTATTTAATTAACATTCGCAACTAGTTAATGTACTTGCGAAGTGCATCTTGGTTGTTAATTATGTATTCGCTAAAATTATTATGCACAACACGTTAATATTCTTGCAAAGTGTATTCTTCGTGAATACACATTCCTCAAGTGTGAACTCGACTTATAGACATTTAAGCTAGGGCGTCAGAAGGATGATAAAAATGACGTTTACTCCTCACTTGACTCTGAAGATGACTACCGCTGAGGTTGTCGAAACGTCAGTCAACATCAACACAAACAGTCGTTCCCAGTACTCTACTAACATGAACGACATACATCCGCAAACGCGTATCTTACATGCTGGGAAAGAGTTTCTCCGGAGCCAGACAGGCGAGTGAAATTTTTGGAGCTTTTTTTCTCGGAATATTCGATCATTTCTGATTATAATGAATTGAAAAAAATATCGTTGGAAAGCTAAAGAACTCATTGTTTTAGACTTTAGTTATATAACAAGATGTCGATAAGGCGTTCACTCTGGCTACTCTTCAACAATGTTTGGTTATTTTAACAGTTGCCAAATAGCATAACGAAATCCATGGCAATGTAATCTCACATGTGACAATATATTATGTAAGTAAATCGTGTTTCATTATATGTGTCATTCGTAACACACACGCGTGAAAACGATTCAATAAAGATTTTCATTGTTTCAAGGTCCAGCCAGGTGTGATTTGTGCAATCTCGCGACAATACAGGAAAATCCGAATTTTAAACTCCCCCCGTAAAAATTTAAGAGCGAAACACAACACCGAAGCACGATTTCCTATTAAAGTTCAAATTACTATTTTTATTCACACTGGAATGCATGCAAGAAACGACGCCCAAGGGAAGATATGTGGACGCGGAATTTGTGTTGAGGTCAAACGACGCAATACTAACCTAAATAAACTACAAGGATGAATGATCCATCCAGCTTCTTTGTGTCTCGTCTGTTCCTTCTCTACTGCTCTCGTGCTGCTGAACAACTTTGGGTTTGTTAAGTTGTCCATTGGTTGAAGCCATGAAAACAAAAGCAATGGAATGGATGGCCGAATAAAGTTGCCATTCGCCATACCTGTAACAATACTAAAAGCTTTAGAAGACGTTATTGTTAAATTCGCTGGTCACGTGTTCACTGAATGCACGTGACATAGTTATGGTGTTGTTGACGGGATATTCATGGAGCATGTAACAACGGTATCTTTAGATAAAGTTCGCATTTTGATTCTCTGTTTCGACTTTTTAAGACAACATTTGGAATTATAAATGAAAGCAATAAAACGAGTGCGGTGATTGGTCAATAGCCGTGTTTTGCTTGTGAAACCCATCCTAGCTCAACCAATCAAATCAATCAAACAATCAAATAGAATTTGCATATCAATCGTGAATACATTTTATAGGAAAATTAAAACGTTTGTTTCACAATTCTCTGTTTCGCATTTATGTTATTTTATAAAAGAAATAAAACATGTTTTAGTGCTTGCAATATTCAGTAAAGTATTCGCACTGGACCTAACTTCGAGTGAATGCCTTTACCAGAAGTTCATCTTAGAGGAAACAACTGTAAATTGTAAACGATTGATGAAATCATCAATCGAGAACGGCTAATAAACTAAAACCAACTCAAAACCCGCTAAAACCCTAATGGAACCGTTAAACCGAAGGCAGTAATCACAGAGGTAATACGAATCGTTTTCACGATTGTGTCAAACAGACAATGCCAACAAAGACAAACTATTTCCTGTTTCTAAAGCGTATTGTACTTCATTGTAGTTCATAGTACTTCAACCAACGATAAGCCCGTATCATACAGGTACTATACCTTCGAGTACAGTCATTTGTGAGTGAAGGCACAGTGCAGCCGACCACAAGATCTACATCACCGCTGTTGTTCATAAAAAACTTTTGTCAGTGGGCTCAGATGTAATCGTTTTGTCAGCAATAAGCTGGTTTTGAATTACATGAACGATAAATTAAACAGTCGCTCACGAACTTTAAATTGTATTCAATTTTGCTACTTTGTCAAGATTGATTGTAATTGGTAAAATACGGGATATTTACATTGCCCAAATTTGCGTACGCCGCCACGTTGTTTTCATACACGATTTACAACATTTAGTTATGCAGGAGAATGCGCATGCCCGAATCTCAAGAGCGTACGGTGTATTGACAAAAAACACAACACAACTCGACGTACCTGAAGTTGACGGATCCCCTTTCGATTTACCCATTGTATCCACAATAACCTCCCGCAATGCCGTCGTAAAATCTTCATCAATGTCGTTTTCATCAAAGTTCTTCGACAGAAATCTGTCAGTATTGACCGCAGAATTGCTGCTCAATCGAGGCTCGTCATCTTCTTCATATGGAACGACCTTTACTCCGCAACATGGACATAAAAATTTCATGGCTCTTCGTTGAAAATGACTCTACAACTTGATATAACTTCGCGCGCTTTCTGTTTCGACAATTTGTTAATTTAATTCGTTCGATTGTCACGTTATCAATGACAAATTATCATTTCTTGAGCACGCGCAAAAACTGCAGCCGCAAGAAAGAAGGCTTCTGTGGTTCTGGGGCCGGTTGCACGAAGCGTGGACAATGTTATCCATTGGATAGGAACTTTTTCAAACTTGTGAAAAACGTGGTAAAATTTTCTGTACAATAATGAAACTTTGCTATTGTAGAGCCAATATTGTATTTCAATGATATTCCAGTTCAAATCGTAGATTGTTTCCTTTTCAGAAATTTTGAAAGCCTTCAAAAATATTGCTATCCAGTGTCCAGCACCATTCAGCCTTCGTGCAACCGGCCCCTGATTTAAAGTGCTTCTGAAGTGAAATTTGCATAACACTTTTTGTCGCGCAGAAATACTCGTTGTAAGCGATTTGAAATAGTTACGTCTACTTTACGTTGAATGGATGTTAATAAATTTCGACTTTTTTTTAGCAGAGGGTTAAATAGTCTTGGCAAATTAAAACGATTCAATTCTTAGTATAACAAATGTACTTGAGCACTTCCAAAATAAACAAAGCGACGACAACTAACTTCTCACAATTACAGCATAATGAAGCAGAGCGCTTAGTGAAAGGTTTTAATTTTTAAGATTTAAGTTTCGTTTACTTTCAACCTTTCAACAACTCTTCACTGAATTCAAGTGAGCCGGGATAAAATCATCAGCCCCTAACTTATTGGATAACTTCATAACTGAACTTTTTTCGTGCAAAATCACATTTTGCATATTATTACATTTTCACGCATGCCTACATATATTTCGCACTAAAGTCTTCGCCCTTTGCCAGTGAGCTTTAATATAAGCTGGAATGCTATCGCGCTGCCATCTTTGAAGTAATTTTTAGAAGTTCCATGCTGTTATTTTGATGAATGAACGATTTTATTAATATACAGAGGTACAAATTGCCATGATAGGCTTTGCCGCAGGAGTTTTGATCAATAAACGAAAATGTCAGATAAAAATTCGTCTTGGCAGACCTCGTCAACGTTAAGAAATTACGCGTGGAGAAAAACGCCTAAGAAAATATAAGTTTGACATTAAGCATTCTCAGCTCAGAGACGATAAAAATTCTCATTTCATGGTTGATAACAAGACACATAAGAGTAATCGGTGTAAGAATAATAATAATTAGAAAGGTCCGTTTTCGAATTCAAAACACGATAACAATGCTGTTAGTTGCTTCTGAAATGTTGTAAATTTGAAGTATATTTATTGTGATGTAATGACTTATCAAGGAACCGCTTCTTTACGGTCAATAAAGGAGAAGCAATGAACTTTACTCAACTAAAAGCAATTTTTCATATCAGATGATACGATGCATTACGCTCTAGACATGACAAAATCCAAAGACTATTCGATCATTAAATTCATTACATATTGTAAATAATCTTACTGTTAGCTTTCATACTTATGAAACGACAACGACGAAGCTCAACATCGACTACTTTATGTTAGTCTCGTTTAGGTGATTCCTTTCTTTGCTGCCTGATGAATGTGCTTCTCTAGACGCCCTGTGGAGTGGAGAACAAGAAGGAAGTCTTTATAGTGAAAAATTTCATGTCCAGTCTTGAAGTCTATTCTTCCTGAGAGGCTCTATGAATTATTATTTTTTTCCTCGTAAGAACGAAGAAAGCTACATCAGGAATTTTAAAGGGGACTGGTGAGAGCGGACGCTAAAGATAACGAGGAGGTGGGGAGGCAGTTGCCCCCAATATTTTAGAAAATATACTTGAATTGAGTCATATTTTTGTTGTTTAGATAAATCTGAGTTATTTGAATAAACTATTCGTTGAACTTCTAAGTTCAAAATTTTAAATAATTATTTGACTCAGTTTGTCACTTACCCCCTCCCCACAACAATTCGTTAAATATCCGGTCCTGGAAATTGGTACGAGGAGGCTCAGGACGAGGAGCACCATAGAAGGCAACAAGAACATCGCCATGAGGACGTTAAAGGAAATACTCAAGGAAAGCAGTAGCAGAAAATGCGAGAAAGGGATGGTGCGGGAAAATTTTAAAGGGGGGGGGGGCTACAGGATCCTGAAAACGAGCTGCTATTCATTGTTAAAACAGGCAACTATTACTGAAACAATTTAGTGGGGAGGTGCCAAGACAATGATCAAGTCGGGTGAGGGGGTAGGAGTGGGTGGGTGCTTCAATGGCAAATAGGATGCATAGTGAAATCTCCAAATGTAGCTTTGCCATGGCTGTAATGGACACACGATTTTTTATCAAAATCAGCGGCTCAGAAGCCAACTATTCTACATCATTCATACCGCTGTGTAAACAAGGCATTATTTATGCGCATATATTAGAGTCGACCCGCGGTATCTACATACATACATATTTTGTGTTGTCCTTTGACGGGAAACTTCACGCGAAGTTCTCGAGGATTTTCAGGTATAAATACGAACGCAGAAGAAGATTCCTCGCCATTTGGAAACTGAAACATAAAAATAATTAGTGTTCATTTTTAAAAAACAATTATCGGTGATATAATTTCATGCGAAATCATCATGTTGGACAAGTGACGTCATACTGCAACACGTCATGACTGCACGCTATACGTCATGGAAAACTGGAGAGCGCAACAACGCAATGTGAAAGAACAAAGTTGTTATTTCGATAAGAAATTATTCCTTTAAAAATGGCTATTCTCACTAAAGCAGCGATAGCCATTTATTGTTTGTAGTAGAATTCAAAAATTTTACTTGCTGTACACATAATTACTGCAGAACCTCAGAATACATAGAGAATAAATATGTGCAGGGGGGTGAGATGAAAATATAATCAAATTTCATTACTTCCCCTCATAAGGTCTGCGACTTTTTTACTTTTTCCTTCGTTAGAGAAGACCAACTAAATGATGCAATGTGTCCCAGATTTTTTAATGCGGTTACGCCAGATAAGCCATTACTTTGGCAAGTACTGTGGTTGTTGGCTACTATAAATTATACAGTGCATTTGAATATTTGTGTAAGAAAATCGCGCTTTAAACGTTGTCTTTCATCAGTCATGGGTATCTTGCTCAATAATTGAATTTTAAAAGGTAAGGCACAATTTGACTACAGTGATTTGACTACAAAATAGACAAATTGGCAGTATTTACATTGCATTTTGATGTTCTGATCATTAGAATGCAGATTTCGAAAGTAAACCACCACAATGTGTAAAGTAATGTTTTTGCACAATACTACTATACACAAATTCATTTCTAGCCAAATTTCTAGCATGCGTAATGAGACATGCACGAGGACACTGACTTCAAAAGCTCCGACACTCAGTTGGCCTTCAGTTCATTTCCTATTCTGTGGTTATAAAAAGTTCAAGCTGAACCGGTAGTTATGGTAAATACGGGAAAATCGGCGCATATTCATCATACATTACATTTTAATACTTGTAGCATTAAGTAAATGTTAGTTATTTCAAGTGGACGTTGCAGTATTTCCGATCAAATGATTGCATACCTTTTCACTATATTCTTGCTGTGATAAACAATCGATAATATCGACGCAGCCGAGGAGGCAGCTTGACGGATAATGTTCAGGAAATGGGCCATCTTCCCCTGAGAAAAATTTGATAGAAAACAATTCATACATACATACATACATACATACAGCTCCTGAGTCCTAGACAGTCAAGGTTTCTTTAAATGCAACGGCTTACATTCATCGCTAAATGCATAACAGTTACAGTATATGTTTTTTTTAGTCTTGGCTCGCGATAGTAAAATTTTTCTTGAAGTTTACACTCGTCTTTGTTACATATAAGTTTTGCCTTGGCGTGTGGATACTTGCTCTGACTTTTGTGTCACGTGACTAGTCGTTCTCGTTTGTTCTATCTTCAAACAAAGTATACTGGCGCTTTTGTTAACCAAGGTCAGTGTTCACCAAAATACTCATTGCCGTCATTGAATGCCAAAGTACAGATAGCTTAGAAGTTAATACCAAAAGTGGGGACATTCATTGACTTGGCGAGATCTCTCAAATACTAAGTAAGGACTTCGATGAACTTAGCGAGTAAAGTGAAGACTAAAGTGAAGGTATTCGTAAACTCGGCGAGTGCTCCCAGGGACTGATTAAGGACTTTGATTCATGAAGCAAGGTCTCTCATGACTTTCATGGACTTAGCAAGACTATCAGATACTGAGTGATGACAAGCGTGTCCTATATGCAATTTTTTGACTAGATTTCAACTGATGAGCATAGTCTCTTCTACCAACTTTGCATAGTTGCAAAGTTCAGAACAGGGGAGAGAGTTTAAGCTCATCCAAATATGGTGAAAATATTTGCACATATGTCACACTGGTAAGGACTTTAACAAACTGAAAGAAGATCTTCAAAAAGAGCTTCAAAGACATTCAAAGACAAACCAATATTATTTGGAGCTTGACAAATCATTAATCTGAATCCCATGATGTGTTGTTGATAATTAACTGCGGCCTTCCACCCTGTTGACCACGCACAAAATAATGATGTAAAGATACATCCTGTTTTGTAAGTCAGAACACATTACAGCGTCGCGTTTCAAATCCAAAAACTATGACACCAACACAACTGATTTAAGACACTCTTACGTCCGTATTCTAAAACCTTAATCATGTTCACTACCGAGTGAAGCTTCAAAATCATCTCATAACTACTCGAAGAAAGTATTTTTACTCGATTGATAGCTTGATTTGAAATATTTAAGCGAAAATCTTGCCATCGACGAAAAAAAGAGTTTGTCATTAAATAATAGAAGCGAGATTTCTGCGTCGCAATCAATGGATACAGAAGTTGGGATCAAGATTTTATCGTCAGGAGTTGACATGTATTTGTTGTAATGTGTTTTGATTTACTCTGGGAACGGTGTGGAGCAAGGATGGAATAAAAAATCTTTTTTTAAATTGCTGAATTTTTTTTGCTGACACTTACTTCTTAATTCCAGCGACCAAAAGCGATGCCCAAGGTTGATGCATACTCAAGCATTTACCTGAAAATAATGACGATAATGAAGCATCAGGGTTGTGTTGCAGGCACGGCGCAAAGAGGAGTTGGGGGTCTCGAGTGCCTCCCCAACATTTTCCGCAGGATAAAGTTTTTGCTGATATTTATATTTTTTAGCCTTAATTAAAGCAAAGAAAGACATAGAAATTTAGTAAATATAAGTCCATAGCCCCCCTCCCTTCCGAGGTTCAATTTTGTGGCGCCGTTAACAACAAAAAAGAGCAATATTTTAGGGGCTCGATTGTAGGATTAAAACCAACACAAACTCGATATAAGTAGAATACAGCTCCTCCGCAGAAGTTGCATTAATGAAGTTTTGTGCATCTAATCAAATTAAAATTTTTAACTTTGAAAATTCTTAATAAATTCAGGCGGTTTCGAGGAGTCAAGCAATAGATACAAGATGTTTAATAAAGAAAGGCTTTTGTTTTCAATTGTTTTTATAATTTTAGCTTCAACAAATGAAAGCAACACTGAAGACCAAATCATATTTATAACATCATATAACATACATAATAGGAAAAAATAAAAGCGTTTTAAATAACGCATATTCAGACAAAACGACAAATTAACTTACCTTCATCGCTCATTTCCAAAGTTCCTTATCTTGAAGACGAACTAAAGAACGAGATGACTGTTTGGATTGCGGTTTGAACTTCTTCTCTCGTTTCTCGCCCATAGCTTTGAAATTAATTTCTTCTTCAACATACTGTAAATATTTTAATGAAACAACTTTTAAAGTAAAGTGGTTTGAACCTGGGGGTTTTGTCACTTTTTAGTAGACGTAGGTCGTTCATGTTAGTAGAGCCCTGGAAACGACTGTTGGTGTTGATGTTGACTGACTTTTCGACAACTGTAATGGCGGTCATCTTCATAATCAAATCACTGCCGCCATGGTGGTTGAAATGTTAGTCAACATCCACACCAACAGTCCAGTTTTTCTCAGGACTCTACACACCTGGACGATCTACACCTAAAACAGTGACGTCGTAAAAGGGGAGAAGGGGGAGCAGCCCCCTGGCAAAATTTATGCCCCCCTTAAATGCTCTGTTCTATACATATTATATTGCTTAAGTGACAATTATGGCTTCCTTTCCTTTTGACTACCCCCCCCCCCTTTGACAGAAAATCTCGGCGAGGCCACAGATCTAAATACATTCATTAGTTGTTTTTTTAGTGACTGAATACTTAATTTTGATAATTACAAACTTATTTTAAAATCAAAGATCTACTCATCGCTACTGGCAAACGCTGTCATTTCAAAGGCTTCATATCGAAGGATACCTAATAAGCTTACGTAAAAAACTGAATACATAAAACAAACTTTTTTATTACAGACATGTTTCGGCAAACTTATGCCATCATCAGTGTAAATGAATGTGTTACAAAATGTAATCTTTAATATATAAATTGTAACTGAGGTGAGAATAGTATTACAAATATTAACAATTAATTAACATATTTACAGTAGGGGGATTTAGTGGTTTGTAGGTGGTAGGGGAAACCCACGGGGAAAACTGTAAATTGTAGGGGGTGGTAGGGAGAAAAGAAAATTGTTTAAAAATGAGCCTCATTTTTGCCCAAAATACTCTTTTCTTCCTGTGTTCTCACCATTTAGCAAGTAATTGTAACAGAATCTTTCTTTTGGCATAATTTGTGACCATATATGGCAATAGAAGATCAGCAGCTTATCATAAACTCAGTGTGTCATTTGCACCACTTGAATGTCATTACTTCCTACGCCAAATTCTAACTTTCTCGTCTAGATGTTCTTAGTTTTCGATAAACCTTTTTTGTATGCATTTTTTAAAACCAGACTAAAAAATTCAATGGTCTGACCCGACGTAGGTGTATAATAGGGGGATATATTGCTGTGTAGGGGAAAAGTAGGGGAAAACAAGGAAAATCATCGTAGGGGGAGGTAGTGGGAAAATAAAGTTTTGGTAGATGAAATGTACATACACACAGTGGCAGCACTGATTGTCTGGCGACTGAAATGGATGTTTTTTGTTATATTGCGTCAATGCGTCATATTTCGACCAGGATGAAAGAGCACACTTCCACTGATAAAAACTCACACATCTTCAAGCATCTTCTCTCCTCACATAACTGCAAATCACAATACACCAACAACTGCTTTATAATTATCCACACTGACAATTATTCTTCCACAATCAGAATTAAAGAAGCCTTACACATTAACAAACTTAAACCCGATCTCAATAAGCAAGTTCACCACGTTAATACCATTTTTAGTTTGTAAATAATTGTATGTTAGTTTTTTTTTCTTCCGTTCAATGCATCGTCTAACTTCCATATGTTATTTAATTGTAAATATTAGTAATACCATCCTCATCTCAATTAACTGTAAGTCGTTTATCTCTATTTATATGTTTAAGTATTACATTCTGTAACACATTCATTTACACTGACGATGGCATTAGTTTGCCGAAACATGTCTGTAAAAAAAAGTTTGCTTTATAAAATCAGTTTCTAATTTCAATTGTGCTTTTACGTAAATATGGAAATATTATCTTCCGTAAAAAAAAACTTCAGTCAGCTATTTCATATAATTACTCATTTTTATAGTTAAATCACTCCGTGAAAGCTAAACAAAACATTAATGTGCTTTCCATTATCTTACTATCAAGGTACTTACTTGAGGAGCTGTTGCAATGTATTTAGGATGGCTGGGAAAAGCCTCATGACCGTATGTAGATTGAAGAAATTCTTCGGCCGATTGATAAATTTCTGAAAACAAACATGAAAAAGATAAACATCGTTCAACAACACACCGAAACACATCAAATTGATTTTGAATAAAAAATTCAGCAAGTGCTTGTTGTTTGATGAACGAGTGATCGGGGTAATGCTTTGCGCGCTTAATATTTAGGTTTTCATACGGGAACTTTCGTGTGAAGAGTGTGCTTCTCAAGTTTGACTGGTGAATTCGATCGCAATGCCCGTCTCGAGAAAGCTATAGTTCAAAGATTACATATTCATCCGGGGAAGAATTTAGGGATGAGTTGCGGGTGGGTATGCCCGCCCCCTCCCTAGCCTAGGCCAATGCGCATGTCAAACAATTAAGCAAAAGCAATTGTTCAAGGTGCTTAATGAAGCACACTTCCAAAAATTTCCCAATCATGATAGACAGGTAAAAGAAGTTAAACAAAATGTAACATGTTACGGCAACAAGTAGACACTTCTTTGCAGTTTCTGAATAAATTCATGAATAATTTTAAACTGACAGCGATTCTAGTCGTAACAAATTAAATTGAGCCCCCTAATGTATAGCTATTTCATAAAATAGAGACTTTGTCGTGGTGACACGTCTAAAAAATGTTTGTCAAAAGATAGGGATGACTGGCAAAAATAATAACGTAACGGTTCTTTTAAAAGAACTGTTTAAAATCAAAACACTAAAGCCTGGTTTTCACTAGCAACATAAGCATATGGACAACAAAGACAAAAAAAAAGAAAATACAAAAGAAGGCAATGAAGCGACTGACACTAGCATCAGCATGAGCATAACCATAAACGAAGCAACTTGACATAAGCATAAGGCAGAAAAAAACAATTTGAAAAGAAAATCCTTTTTCTTTCATTTCCTCCAATCTCTGGAGAATACATGCTTCGCTTTGTTTTCTTTCTGGTGCTTATGTCGCTAGTGAAAACTAGGCTTTACAACGATAGTTCTGAAAGAACTGTTTTAAAGCTGAAAGACATGATGCAATTTAAGAACTATCGGGTTAATGCTCTGGTTTTAAACAGTTTTTCAAGAACTATTACGTTATTATTTTGACCATTCACAATGATATTTGCTATTTTTAAAAACAATTTACCGTTTATTTCATCTGTGACCTGTTCCTCAATGACCTGTCTTCCAGCAAAATCAAGCGTGATTTTCTTGTTGAGCCTCGAGCCGTGCTTCAATTCACGTAGTTTGTCTTCCTTATCTTTCAACGCCTTTCGTTGCTTTTTACTCAGCCACTTTGAATCCGTTGCAAAATAATCGGATTCGTCGTCGATCACCTTCGTACGTCTAGTGCTGCAGGAAAAAACATCTTGTCAGACTGAAATCGGGACAGGATAGTCTGAAGGTACAAGTGCCGGTTGCAAAAAAAAACCAGTACTACTAAGACTGCTGTCCATAGCTGGCGGGGATCAATCCAGCAGGATGTGAAATTACTGCATAAAATTAAACAGTATTTTAATGAGATTCCAATTAGTTTAAAGCATTAACAGGCCTTTACCAATTCCATGGGACACGACAGCCTGTCAATGCATGAAAATAATTTACACTTCATCTATATAGTGTTTAATTAATTCAGCAAACTAATACAAAAATCTGAAACTTCGGCAAACTATATATATAAATCTGCACGATACGGGTTCTTTTGGACATCCAGTTAACGGTAGGGATTGAGGCGGGAAAACAGGCGGGTAAGAGGCCAATTACATGAGCCCGGGTAGCCGGGATTCAGCGAAGCGTTAAACGATTTTGACAAATGGAAAGGATTCAAAAAATATCAAAAAATTAGGAAGCATCATAATTGACTCAATAAAGATTAAGCCCCATCACCGTAAGCGTGTCTGGAGGTCAAATTTGGCTTCAAAAAATTATTAGGCTTTTCTATTACAGGTAGCTTCCATCTATTATAGTTCAATGGATCAATTCTATAAACATGCACAAACTTTATAAAGTAGCAAAACATATAAAATGAAAACAAATAACATAGCTTAATTTGAGAATTACAACAGAAATGACTTATGGCACTTGTAAAAAATTTTGTAAGTTTTCCTCGGGAAGTTTTGACCTTTTTCAACGACTCAAAATCCTTTCACGCCTCGTTGAACTTGAATCCAGGTTAGCCTGGATCATATAAACAGCTCCAAAAATGCCGGTTGAGGAGAGCAGAGATATGTTAAAAACAGAACGATGTTGTGGTCTGCTTCTAAAAAATTCAAACTGAGCTTTTTAAAGAACGTTTTATTCACCTCTTGACTGCTCAGTTTTTCATTTATCACTATTTCCCCCTTTCTCGTAAGATATTTTTGAAACAAAAGAAATATTGCAAACGTTATATGTAACGCTAGAACAAGCCCCTTTCCTGTGATGGGCAGTGTGAGTTGGAGTAAAAGAATACAAAATCGAGAACACATGGATGGAGAAGGTTGGGGGCATTGAGAAGCAGCAGCAGTTACAAAAGACAGCATTTTGATAACTATAACCAAACCTTTTCACCTCTTTCAAGTAATAAGTATACAATAAAAAGAGAAATGATAAATGAAAAATTCAGTGGAACCGTCATGAAAGATTAAGTGCTATCAAATAAAAACCAAACAACATTACTATTTAATTTATCCCGCCTAATAATAAGTATGTAATTATTATTGGACAAGGTTAAGCATGTTATCAAGAATTATTCAGACCGAGGTCAGTGTTATCTGCCAAAACAAAGCTGACTAATGAATAATTCTTGATAACATGCAAAACCCGAATTCAATAATTGTTTTATTATTCACTTTAACTAACTAAATTAATACTAAATGTAAAACATTTTTAAAACCTTCGCTAACTTTTGTCCTTGTCAGAGGTTTATTCAATATCTTCTACTTTGAGAATGTTGTAAATATGTTCAAAGCCAGCTTAGTCGCTTTTTTAGTGTTTTTTTAAGCATTCTTTTTGTTCATAAGCTCTTGACAAACATTTCAAGGTTTCCTCTAAAATGTATTCATGATTGATTTGCCAATTCTCTTTGACTGATTGACTGTTTTGATTGATTTGATTGGTTGAGCTCGGATGTGTTTTGCACAGGTTAATGCAAACACAGCTCTAGACCAATTAGAGACGCGTTTCATTGTATTTATTTTATAATGTTTAATGAAACGAAATATTATTCGTGTGATAAAAATTAATGCCCATTTCAGGCTTCATGAAAGCCTTCTAATCAATAAACACAAGCCTTCACTTAATGTGCAAGGAAACTCCATTTCCACTTAACCTCTTTTAATTTCTCTTTATTTCACTTCCTAACTTCCTTATCATGTATCCATTTGACACCGCTTCCTTTAGTATTTCTTTCATTAAATCATTCTTTAGTATTTCCTTTAGTATTTTTTTCATTAAATCATTCTTTCCGCTTCCTTTAGCATTTCTTTCATTACATCATTCGACACCGCTTCCCTTAGTAGTAATTTAACACTTTTTTGTAAATATAATATCTTGTCTTCACATCCCATTTATTATTTGTCTGAAGATGTCTTGAGTAAAGACGAAACGTCACAATAAATTTAATTTTACAATTTTTCTGGTCTATTTCTATGGCTCTAATCAGAACTTTATGTTGGGCATTAATTTTTATCACACGAATTCGATTTCCGCTCGGCAAGTCTCTGGCTACAATTTGAAATGAAATATGATTAATACCCTGATCTATTATATCCTGAATTGTGTTGGAGTGTGATGAGCTAACATACTGAAACTATCACAATCTAACTATCAAGAAATTCAACAAGAAAATCTCTAGAACATTTTTATTCAATTTAAGTAAGTTATAATCAAACTAAAGACATGGATGTCAGGTTACATACCTGGTTCTGTCATATTCCAGTAACCTATTCTTGAGTTCAGTGGCTTTTTGCTGTTTCAACTCCTCCTGAAAAGGCAAATTACACAGCATGACACCATATAATATAAGTGCATTTCTTTACAAATTGATCTCTTCAAGTATTAACTGATAGTCTTCGCCAAAGGATGAAATTATACATACATCCCTGCTTGCCTTCTGGGTCCAACTTTCCATTAGCTTTTCCATCTGTTTTAGACCACGTTTTGAATTTTTTTCAAGTACTTCTTTCTCTTCAGCTGTGCAGACTATGTCACCACAAAAATAGCATGGACCTGAAGAATTAATACAAGTTTATAAAAATACAAAAATTTTCCTCTTTATTCTACACATTCAACATTAATTTTTTTACGTAAGGATACATATTCTTTAACAAGAAGCTTTTTAAGCAAATACCCTTGGTTCTCATTATAGAGGGATGGAGGGGGTGGTTGGGGTGGGAATAGGGGTTTCAGAGGAGTGAGCTCTCTTTTAGCTAACCCTCCACCTAACCACAAAAAAAGTACCTTTTGAAGATTGAAATTCAGGGTAAATTTTCAACAGTATTCAAACAAAAAATATGGGAGAAAAAAGTATATTGTGTAATTTGAGGTCAAGAAGTCAGAAACTCCATTGTAAGTTTGGGAAAATATTTACTGCTTCCACTCCACCACCCCTTACTCCCCAAAAAAAGAATACTCCCATATGCCTATGGTTCACATTATAGCATGTCATGTCTCTTGTAACACTTCAAATGTATGTTGAAACTAGTCAAGTAGATCATACAAAATCCAATGGTGTTTCTGTTACCCTACCTGATCCTTCTTGTTCACAAATGATACGGCCACAATGTAAGCAGTTGTTGATGAGCCTGTGTTTTTGCCCGAGGCACTCACATGGATGTCGTCCAGGCAATCGGACACTGGTTTTTGCCTGGCCTTCATCACTGTACAGTGACACAAAATGAGAAGATTTTTTCTTAATTGGGGATTTCTTAAAGTAAAACAGGATAGTTAGGCTAGCTGCATTTTTAAAACCAAAATTTTTCAATACGTACCTCTCCTTTGGTTACGACAGTCTGCTTTCTTTCGTTATTTAGCTTTGTTTTTTTATCATCATTTTGCTTCGACCAGAGTTTTGTCCAATTCTGGCATACTTTCCTCACAAACAACTGTACATTTCGGTCTTTAGAGTCCAATAATTCATAAAGAAACTCTTCGACCGCAACTTCATCTTCAATTGAGAAAAGGTAGCTAGCAAAAATCAAGAAAAATATGAATGTGATATGAGAGATCAGATTTCTCCTTCATACTTGTAATAAAACACTTTCTAAAGAACGCCAATTTAAAGTTAAAATCATAATAGACAACTATCCTTCTACAAAAACTTTTTTTGCAACACATACTCTGTCAAAAAAATCAAATCATTTCCAGCATCACTTCCAAGTAACTTGGATAATTCCTTGGTACACCATCCTTTGAAATCTTTCTCCATTATAGACATGCGCGAATATTCCACACGCATGTTATTTCGAACACGATCAACGCGAAATTGTCCACGCGTTTGCCGCAAGTAAGTTTTCCGGGGGGTGAAGTTTCTACTTCAAGAGAAAAGTTTGCAAAAAATTTAAAATACATATTGAGGGGGCATAAAGGGCTCCGCTCCGGAGGATATGCCTTAACATTGTTATGGATACAAGGCGCCAAACTTTGTATAGCGAAGTAAATATCAGTATTATTAAACCCTTAATAACAGAGCGCGACAAATATCGGACCAAAGCCTTAGTATTTCTCAGTAAAGACCAAGAATGCGAGGTTAATAAAAGGTTTATTATATGGCATTATTAGACCTGAAACGAAGCTTGCTTTCTTTGTCACCCTTGTTGTTTTGTACGGGTTGGCTTTTACTTTTCTAGTTTTCGTCAGTAAAAAATAAATCGTTTCAAATTGTATCATCTGGATAGTTGAACTGTTTTCCAAGTGTTTTTCCTTGGACTCACATTCGTAAATGGTTTTTTGTTTCGTTTTTTTTCTGTTTTGATGTTTGCTTTACGATGTTTGTTTACATTTGACCATAAATTTACGCGTTATGGACCGTGGTCAATTACTGGAAAATAATAGACGGGAAAAAATACACCCCATAATAAAATATATAATTAAATATTTTTTCTGGAACATGTCACTTATATTGTAAACATATCTTTATATTATATTTATCTTCCATAATGAATAAAAAAAGCCAAGAATATTTTCTGTTTGTGTGGATGAATTACACCAGCAATTTAACTTTTCTTACGTCCCTTCAGCCATTGACAAGAAAACATATCTCCAAAAAAGAATATATATACGCAAGGAATTTATAAGTTATAACCACCTTCTCAGTTGACACGCTTGCCATTGATTATTTTTTAGCAGTTTTAGCCGTGACAGTTTTATGTATACCATCTTTAATTTCTAGTTCAAACTATGAAAAAAATCGCTTTGTATAGTGTGGTTGTTTGGCATGTATGTTAAGGAACAATACCAATTGGTTCAACTTTAGTTCAATGAAATATCACACGTGGCCCGTCTGGTGATTTTCCTGAAGACCTGTATTAAGCGGACAACCTGTATTAAGCGGTCACACGAGAAATCCCAAGGGTGACCGCTTAAACAGGTTCTACTGTAGTTAATTATTGGTTAATTTTGGGATTTAGATAATAATTAAGTGGCGATAACTAATGAATATAGTTATGAAATATTTGTAAAATATTTTAAAAACTACAGTGGCATTTTAAAAACTACAAAATCAGCCCAGAAACTCTTAGTTACAGAATACTTTAATAATTATGAATAGAAAAACAATTTTTACATTCGCAAATGGATTTGTTTGTGGGCAAGTCGCGGACAAAAATACCAGCTTTTTGCCACAGCACCGGATTCCTACTACATGAGGTAACATGATTGATGAATATGGCTTCGAAAAAACAGCGAGAGAGAAAGCCAAGCAATGACGAAAAGATTCAGCAACTATTCACAATGATGAAATGTTCAGCTAAACTAAAAAAACTATATCTATCTTGGGTGTTCTCCATTCAAACAATAAATTCTCTTTTGAAGAGTGGAGCTCATGAAATCATACTACGGTCATATCGACGTCTATATAATAAAACATTTTCAGAAATTTTTATGTACAAACGCACTGATCTCAATATGTTACAAGGTCGTCGCGCATTTCACTTCCAAACAACGGAATAATTTTTTTCCATCACATCCTTATTGTTCCGTAACTCTAAGTTTGAGTCAATTTAAATCAAGTGGCAAAGCCAGCCCGATCTTTTACTCCTAGAAAACGGGCTGGATTTGCTACTGCCTCCAACAGCACACAGTGCCTTTCTTTAAGTTTCTCGACAATGGCCAGCGTTTGGCTGATAGGGAAAACCAATCGCAAATGTTGCGTGGCTACTTTAACTGCGATCAGATCGAAATCATGAAAGCCACGCAATACTCGTGTTCATTTTTGCGAGTACTTTGTGACCTAAAAAATATGGGATGAAATTAGGGATGGGTGGGGTGTTGTGAACGGGACGACACAACTGCAATCCTAATGAGATCAGTGACTACAGCCGACTCAACTATAGAAAGTAGTCATGACAACAGCTAACGCCATCTATCATTATGATTAGCGTCCAGTCTCACGCGCTTTGGATCGCCGATATCCAAAGAATCTTTCTCGCGCATACGACGACCATAAGATGGCGTAGGGGATAGAGGAGACCGAGAGCCGGGTGAGACAGGGTCATTGTCGGAGGCTGGTTCTGACTTCACCACGACAGACATATTAGCGCCGGGATGGCGCCGATTGCCCATTGCACCTCCAGCTCTGAAAAAGTGACAATATAAACATGATGTATTTGACCAACGTTATAGAAAAAGTATTCCATCAGAAATCAAAGCATTTCTCGCCTAATTTTACTTGATCGCTTTATGTGATAAATTTTACTTGATAAGGTTATAGTTACGATGGGGCACAAAAAGTAAATATACTGCGCGACCTCTCGATAATTATGTCATGGTGAATATTATACAAAAGATATTAATGTTTTTAATCTCCTCGCACTTATATCACAGGGAAGACAGAACATGAGAAATCAATATACTCGATCTGCTTATACTTATGTTATAGTAAGGATGGTAAACAAGAAGGGACCGTACTTTTCGCCTTTTTTAAATAACAACGATACAACGCGTGCGCTGATTGGTCTATTAGCTAAGTTTGTATTAACCTGAGCTCAACCAATTAAATAAATCAAAGGGAGTTTGTGCTAATTTTATCTGTTTCGCATTGTTGCAAAAAACCTGGGCAAACATAGTAAACATCTTAAATACTTAAGGTATAGTAAGGACTTGATCTCCTTATGTTTATGTCATGGTAAGGATGGTAAATAAGAAATCAATGTACTTGATCTCCTTATACTTATGTCATAGTGAGGATGGTACATAAGAAATCAATGTACTTGATCTCCTTATACTTATGTCATAGTGAGGATGGTACATAAGAAATCAATGTACTTGATCTCCTTATACTTATGTCATAGTGAGGATGGTACATAAGAGCTCAATGTACTTGATCTCCTTATACTTATGTCATAGTGAGGATGGTACATAAGAAATCAATGCACTTGATCTCTTTATACTTATGTCATAGTGAGGATGGTACATAAGAAGTCAATGTACTTGATTTCATTGTATTTTTTATAAACAAAGGAAAATCTTAACGACATCTTTTACTTCTTGAGTGTGACAACAAAAATTCAATATCAATTCTCACCCTTGTAACATGCTCTGCATGGCCATTTGCTGCGCAAACAAATGTTGATTGTGCTGCAAAGTCAAGTATGGCGTCGACGTAACGCGAGCGGTATTTTCACCGCTATCTAGATAATGATCATACGATGAACCGTGAAAAGACGGACCAGAATGGGATATTGGCGTATTGAGAGGCATGACGGGAGTGCTTAGTGGATTGGAACCAGTATACGAAGGACTAGTTATGGATATGACGGGTGTTATGATGGTGTCGTTGCTCGAGCCATGGACGTTCCCAGATCTTGCGTTTTGCGACTGTCAAAAATATGAAAACGGTGTTTGAATGTTGAATTTCACTGATCTGATGCAATAATCCGCAACAAAGCTTTCTAATTTGAAAAAAAGACACTCTGCATTTCGAAAAAGACCTCTACAAGCATGGCGTATGTTTAAGTGTTGATGCAGTGATATATTCGTGCCCTGTCTTATTGGTTTACTGAAAAGTAATTGCTCTTAAAATTATTTTATGTGCAAAGAGAAAAAAATTGGTCTTTTCAGACCGATTTCATTTCCGTCAAAAGTTGCGATTTTTGGTACTTCTCGTGCGATTGTTTTTGGCAGCCATGTTCGCTACGTTACGTCACAACGTGTACACATCATTGATATGTATATTTTATGGGTCGTACGTTCCCAATATCGTTAGCGCGAAAATTAGAAGTTGGAAGTGGACAGCTATAATTAGATGCGCGGCCATAATGAACAGTCCCACTCACAATAATAATCTATAGTAAAGAAACACGATAGCAATGAATTCTGGAGCGCCTTGCACAAATACACCATAAAAAAATCTTTCAACATGAAGCTAGAAGCATTCTCTTGCAATAGTATTTCTCAAATGGTGTCACGAAAATTTTGGGAAAAAATCCCTTTTTAATAGTGCAACTGCCTCCTACACTTAATCTTGTTAAAGCTAATACGTAGCAGTTTTGTCAATGCACCTAAAGAGACGCTTCTCGCAATTTTTCATCGCAGAAATTGATATAATTTGCATGTCAACCTCGTGAAGTAGGACTGTTCAATACGGCCGCCTTCTGGCTGTGCTGTGATGCGCGACCATATATTATACATATGAATGGTACACATTTTCAATGCGGTAATAGAAATTACTGGTAGCTTGGCGACTTCCGAACAACTTCTGACGTCAAATAAACAAACATGGCGGCCAAAAATGTTCGCACACGAGGAGGGCTTTTGAAGTTGAAATTTGTCAACATCCACTCAACTTAAAATGAACATACACACGCACATCAAATTGCTTGCAAACAAAAGAAAATTTTTTCAAAGCAATAAAAACGCATTTTAGCAAATTTTCAAAACATGTCTACACACCTAATAAACGTAGTCTTTTTGACCATGGACTAAACTTAATACCACCTGGCATTATTATGTAAGTTTTACTCCCTATCAAAAATAGGTACGATGCGTACATGTGCGTAGCCTGTCAAGTATATAAATACTAAATGAAGTAGATTAAATGAGTATAATTTAAATAAAACTATATATTTCATATTATTTACGTGAAACTCGTTTAAGATTTGAAAATGGTCTTTAGTTACATGACCAATTAATTGTTTCACTCTTTCTGCACTTTTCGAACGCTCTAACTTACATTACATGTCACGTGACTGTGCTCAAACCTCGCATCAAGGAAAGTAACTCAATAGATTTCTAACGAGTAACATAATGCTAACGATCTGAAAGCTATGTGGACATAAAGCAAATAAGTGGTCTTGTATGCTTTCAAAGAAAAATTTATATCTTTCGAGTACAGAAATAAAACAAGAGACGAAATTCAAGTAGTGTAAGTGGAAACACATCACGTATTGCTGCGTTTGTCGTATGAATTGCTATACTATTCAGCATTTTCCTCGTCCCGGGATTAAAACAACGGTGAAGGACATGGCCAAGTTGTTGTCGAAAACAAGAACTTCATCAAAATTCTTTCCAATTGATTTATCAGCATGGCGGTTATGACGTTAGGTGCAATGTCCTTTTACTGGAAATCGAGTTGCACGTTTTATAACTTACTTACCAAAGGATTTCTAGAGACGGGTATCACAACTTTTAGGTCGGGTTTTTTCGATCCAGACGATCCTCCTGAGCTACTTGAATTATTTAACGCTTGCGAATTCCGTGAAGTATTAATACCAGGACTTGGAGCACCTGTGTTGAAATACAATTGACATTACGTTCATCGCACTGTCTTCGCGTTCAGTTTCGTACAACGTTTCAAAGATAGTGCGTACGTTATTTAAGTGATTAATTAATTAGGAATAAGTGGAGGTCCTACGCCACGCACCGTGTGACAGAGCAGTGACCAGTGATCGACCGACAATTGGTCTAAAGTACAGTTCACCTCTTTATCGTCCCTCCCCTACCCACAAACTCATGCCGGGTCCATCTCCGTCATGTGATCTCTCGGGGATCAGAGAGATCACGTCGTAGATGAAAATTGACTGTGACTTCCATGATTTGGTTCTCTTACCTCTACTAAAGCTAAGAGTACGTTTCCAGTAAAGTGAAAGTTTGTTAAAATATTAAATTGCATTATTACTACCAAGTTAAGTTTTGAATGTATAAAATATCAGATCAAATTAAATTTGATTAAATTAACACGGTAAGTTAATTGTAAATATTTAACGAGATCATACTATATTACACCAACTTTATAATATATTTCATACGAGATTACACTACACCGTACTATATTATATTGTATTTACCCCATAATTAAGATTACAATAAAAAATTACAGTTTCTCGTCGATTTAAGCTTCAACTTATTCACAATTTTCAATTAATCCCAAAATAACGCGCGTCGTCCCCAAAATACAGACTCTCAGATAGCATAATATAATTCCTAATAATTATGAACGCGCTTTGCACAAAAGGTCTCTGGTCCATTCATCTACTTTATAGTTCTAAGATCGTTGTAATTTTGATTCAAGTGTTCCTTTCTATCGGTCAATTTGATGGTTCCGTAAATATTGATTTTCAAAAATAGACACGCTGGCCATGATGGGATTTTATAAAAACAAGACATACGGGCGATGATTTCTTGTTATAACTGATATGGTAAAAACGATGCAAATCACCATAAATTTGAATCTTTTTTTGACACCATTTTGTCTTATTAATGTAACCCGCGAAACTTACTTCTACATTTCGTTATTTAGCTAATTATTTAATTTTATCAAAGTTCAATATAAAGTTTATTTTTAATTCAAAGTTCATTTAAAGTTCATTTAAAATTCAAAATTTAGTCCACATTGACAAATAAATCCATGGTTTAACATTTAAATTATTCAAAATACGTCCAAAGTTAGTCCGTAATTGTTGTTACGAGTGTATCGTTAGTATTCACACGCGTTCCGTACCCTAACCTGTGATTCGTTGCATGCCACTTCCGGATTGAGGTCCAGCTGAAAGTCGCCCAGATTGAGATGGCGGTGGGGACAAGAGGCCTGAATTATTGGGGCCTTGGCTGTTGTTGGAATGACTCAAACCGCTGCTGTAGGAGCCAGACTGCGCATGTTCGGTAACAGGCACCGCAACCGGGACTGCATTGAAACCATCTGCCTATAAATTATTAATTATCAAATAAAAGTAGGGAGCTAAAACTTCTCACGAAAAGATAATTGTAGTTCCATCCATCAAACTATAACTTATACGTTCAAACGGCAACCGACATCGCGAATAAACTTACGGATGGATTCAGCCGATTTTTCCTCATCATCATGTCAAATTCTTCATTAATTTTTTTGTATTTCGCTTCAGTTCCAGGAGTCAGTATGAACTGCTGTAAAATGAAAAAGAACTCGATAAGTAAAAAAACCCAATAAATTCGCTAATGAAAGGCAATAAAAATCATATCAAAAACTCTTTGTGCAAGCTTTAATGGTGAATAAATCGAACGGTTGAACTAAAGAAATCGTAAAATTCACAGCAAAATAATCAATTCTTATAAGGCAGAAATATACACACCGAATAAGTATTTCACACAAAATCTTTAAAACCGAATATAATCATTAAAGACAATTTTGATCTTCAAAATTAATTCTATTATACCTTTTCAGGGTCATCTGGCGATGGTAAAGACTTGTTTTCTTTCTTGGAAATAGTCTTAAAATAAATATAGCATGATCATTAAGATAATCCTTAAAACTTCCGTCAATCGTTTCCAGACTCTACTCAATAAATCAAACCATGATCGAACGAAAACACAAGTTTTCATTTCTTCATTAGGAAAAACTGGGAAAGCATAATTATCATATGGCATTGGAAATTTTTGTCACAAGCTGACTCTTGGTTCTCCTCTCGTAAACAAAAAGTCCAAACTTGCGCTCTATTTGATCACACAAGACAGACAATGGATAACACAAGCCAAATCACACAACCAAAGAACGAATTAGACAAGATAGATAACAGTTCCTTAAGACAGGCCATAAATTACACAAGATAAATATAGGATTACACAAGTTGATAAATTTCACAGCGAAAGAACGGATAATAACAGTGAATTATACCAGACAGACAATGGATTAGATAAGATTGATCATGGATTGCACTAGACAGATAATTAGCACGCAGTGGATTTAAGATTCCAAATCATTTAAAAAATCAAGCAACATAATTATATTTACCTCTAGAATATCGTTGTTGGTTCTGCTTTCGTGAGGTTCGTTGTACTCAGTATACTTGAGTAATATCTTGTCCATATCCGTGCTAGCATATTGAAAGAGCTTGTTGCTCGAGTTGAAGATGATCAGAGCAATTTCACAGTCACACAAGATGCTAAGTTCGTAGGCTTTCTTCATCAAGCCAAACTTTCTCTTGGTAAATGTCACCTGAAGGTAAAAATGGAAAATCTTAATGGGAAAGAGTTGGAAATTAAGATCAGAATTGGAAAGTATCTTATGTACTGGATCGTCTACTATTTGTGACAGGTGCTATGATGGTTGTGATTAAGTAAAATTATAATTTTAATCTTTGAAGAAAAGTAATCCATAATTGCTGTTTCATGCACACTACCTGTCAACTAATTATTCATGTAGTCTTTTCGTAAAGTATTCATGTCTTCTGCTTCCTAAAGTATTCACGATCCCTTTTACTGAAGTATTCATGCTCTCTGTTTCCAAAAGAAGTCATGTTCACTGCTTCCTAAAGTATTTATGTACTCTGTTTCCTAAAGTATTCATGTTCTCTGTTTCCTAAAGTATTCATGTTCTCTGTTTCTTAAAGTATTCACGTACTCTGTTTCCTAAAGTATTCATGATCTCTGTTTCCTGATAAACGGTCTGTTTCTCAAAGCATGCAATACTTTGTAAGTCCCCGTTCGTATTTTCTGTCGCTTCAATCTATTCATGATTTATGCAAGTAAGAAAAACAGAAGATTTCCTTAAAACATATAGTTCAAAACATCTGTTTTAGTTTTTTCGTCACGACGAACCAGCAATGGTTTAATCGCACGAGTATAATTGACTCAAGGATTGCAAAAAAAAAAAACGCGAGATAATCATTAATGGAGACAAAATGCCCTTTATACGAGCATCCAGCGACCTTCATGTTCAGTGACCATCAAGACATGAAATTAACCATAAAAATCGATTGTATACACTATTGCACTCGCAAAATAAACCGATACTGGGTTTTAAACAACTCAGACAGAGAAAACATACAACAAAAATACATCGCTATCTGGCCACCACATGTTTAAAACTTAATTATAGCCTCGTCTTTCTTATCATAATGTCGTTTGTGGTCATTGTATGGGATCGTAATTAAAAGGTCGTTACTTTCTTTGAAGTGTGTAGTGGCATAGCCAGGTCACTGACAAGCTGATTTGTATCAAACTCAAATCCGTTCTTTTTGTCTGAGATAACAAGCTTGTCAAGAAAGTGTTTTGCTTTGGCCAAGGAAATAGTGAAATGCGCGCCAGAGAGTATTGTCCTCACAACGAACAGTTTTGATTTGTGGTAAAATGTTATCATTTGAAACATAAGAATATGTATCATTCCTCACCGTTCTAATTATAGTATTAAAATTTTAATTCCCGGGGAGGGGGGGTGAGGGCGAACGCCTTTGGAAAGAAACGCATGATTTATAATACAATAAACTGCATGTCACCCAGAACACCGTACAGAACTCATCGTTCAGACGGTTGTTTGTTTTTCTTTTCATTACGATTTGCGTGGGGAGATATCTCGTATAAATGCAATGAAGATGTATGTCAACATTTGTTAAGATAACTTGCATGACATCGGGAAGATTAAGGCCCGTCGATCATAATCAAATCATAAAGCTATTTATCTATCAATCGGTTCGCAAGCATTTCGCCAACGCCCTTTCAATTCTTGTAGTAAAGGCTTGAAGAATTTTCTAAAAAAAATTCTCGAGCGACACGCACAATATCCACGCAAATATGACGCACATGCTTGATTTAACTGGCACTACCGACATCATTGAAAGATGATTCGAGAGAACAGTTTTTCGTATTTCGTGACACAATCAAGTTGATTTTCACACTTTTGAAAATGAATGACAACGAATTGGGGCGATGAGAATTTCATTCAAACAGGAAAAAGATCTAAACAGGGAAACTTGTGTATCGTAGGTGAGCTATGAACCGGGTTAAGTGTGAAGTGAAAGGAGCAAATTGTAAGATTTAAAAAAACATGTAATTTTTACTTCATGAATACACTTTGTAATCGGAGACATGTGAAAATTGTTAAAATTGCACGAGAACTAGAATTTCGCAACAATATCGTTCGACTCTGAGACCTTCGCTTACTGTAGCAGAACACGAGAACATGAATGTATTATTTCCTTTCTCTCCCACAACATCAAATATATGACAAAGAACGGCATCTTATGACTAAAGTTCGCTCACACGCGAAGACCAAGTTGAAAGCCCATGCATGGTTTGTTAATGAAAACGGGATGCGCAAACAAAGAATTGTTTTTGCGTTAAGATAAATTATAAAAACACTTCAAGCACGATAACAAGAATTGTGCGGCTAATTTGTTTATCAGCGTGAGATTAGTCGGCGAGGAATCAAGCAAACCCAAGCATTCATCGTACATTTATAAAAGAAGTAAAAAATCGACGGCTTTTTTTATATGATGAAGTAATGGGCTAGGTAAAAAGGCTGAAAAACCAGATAGCATGAGAATGATACTTCCGAAAATAGAATCAATATTTTATCGCTTTCAGACTGAAGTGGTACTAATTCAAGATTAGTACGTAGAGACAACATTTAAAAGACGCTAGCAAAACAATACGCGAACTGAATAAATAGGCTTATTGTCTTAAGTGGAAGAAAGAATTTTCGAAGAAACATCGCCCCGACTTTATCATCAAAACCAGCAACCCAGCGATAACTCGATAATTTCTGACCAATGGCTTTCGAAGCAGGCGTGTTGCGATTAGGGATATAATGAAAATACGAAGTTTGAAAAAATACGCGTATATCTTGTCCGTGATAAGCAAATGCAACAACAATATTCCACTTCCCATTGCAGGGGGTTTCCAATGGTGTTCAATAAAGACTGATTTATCGTCCGAAATAACGAATATTTGTCCAGAATATATTTTTATCGATGCATATTTATACCAGTTAGACTCTATCCCAAAAGGTTTTAGACAAAACGGCTTATCTAAAGGGGTAGAGAAAAGAAAACAACAAATCTTGTGCGAGTATCATCCGCACAAAACGAAATTGAACTTAGCAAGACATGGCGAAAATCTAACAGACACATTGTGGCCCGAGGCGCAATTAAAGAGTGGAGCTCCATCAGGCAAAGAAAACATGTTTGATGTTCATTATTTTAAGAAACTCCGCATTCAATTCGAATCAACGTCAAATTGTTTTTTTTTCAAAAGGGCATGACTTTTAAAGAGCACAAATATCAAAATGGTGAGAGTATGTCAGTGAAAATATTTAAAGTTACACGAGCGAAAAGCTTGCATAACTTAAATCACTTATCGTAAAATCGATCATTATTGGATCGTTGCTATATCGCACGACGGGGGGCAAAAAACGTAACAAGATTCATATCTTGTTTACTTCAATGCTCATTCAATAAACGTTTTCTAGCGTGTCATTTCTAAGCGGAAAATTAAGAAAATTGCCTTAAGAATTAAAATTTATTTTCCCACGGAATTCGCGTCACGATATTGCTCTTATAAACCAAACGAGAATCAAAACAATATATCTGGGGTTTTACGAACAATTAAAACAACAACTTCTTCAATATTAAACTGGGCTTTGATAGTTAAACGGACAGCTACGTAGCTCTACATTATTTCTTTCGTGCAGAAATATGAATACACAAATGGTTATATCCCTCAATGTATTAACGCGATCTGTTTCCAACAAATCATTCCAGAAAATAAAGAAAACATACTGCGAAAAACACTTCCATAAAATCAAAATTAGTGAGAAGCGGACGTCGTTTCGATAGTAATACTTCCTAATTTATTACAATCTCCGTGGTAACGTATATTTTGTTCAGCATATGCAATATGCGCTACATGTGCTTGGATAAAATACACATTAGAAGGATAATGATCGTTAAAAGTGCAACCATATTGTGACAGTCTGACGTCTTACAAAATCACAGGAAAATTAAGCGCGATTATCAACTATTAAGACTCCGCACATCCCGAAAGTTGATGAATTTTAAAATGCGTACGACGGCGCAAACATGTAAACAAAAACAGCATGCACGGTGTTTTATGAGAAGGATTTTCCTTCGAAAACTCGAGATACGTTCTAATTAGGAGTAGAATTTATTTAATTGCTACATTCCACAGCGAGAAATGTTCAATCGTTCTAATAATAGGTATAATTGAACGATAAGTTATAGCTATTATAGTTCAAAACATGCAACAATGCCCCACAGGTAGCATTAAGTGTCTTATAAACAACTTATTTTCCACCACTTTAACCCATTTATATTTAAGCTGCAAATAGCCAATCTGCAAGGTACTCGTATTGGTCTTTGTCAGTCCCGAAGCAATGTTTATCTTAGAACTGAAAGGGAATACAGAATTGAAAATCTTCTTTCACGAAAATTTTCTACCAAAGTTTGTTGGCAAACTTGCGAGTAAACGATGCAGATTTTTTTATATTCAGACAAAGTTGAGCAAAAATATAAACTTAACAGCTAAATTCCTTTACTTGACCTAAGTGATTAGTTAATATTCATTAAATATGTTCGGTGTATTGGATTATCTAACGAGATGTATAAGCGTTTCAGTTTGGTTAAATTACTATTCATGTTTCAACGAATGGATAAGTAATTGCTTATGCATTATCTACATGTAGAACAAAAAGTCGTAAAAAACCTCGGGTTTTCGCCAAAATATGTCACAGGTTACACGTCGAGCTTCGTTAATGCGTGCCGTTTGTAAAGTTTTAGAACGATAAAGTCTTAGAATTGTTTCAATTACCTCACGATGGCTTTGAAATATTGTAAAGTTTTATTGTGTCATATTTACCAAAGATCACGATTTTATCAAATTTTTCCAATTTGAATTGACGTATGCGAGTGCCAAGCTGCAAACGTCCCTCATACATTCGGGAAAAAAAACTCGCAGTATACGTTTAGAGGTTCCTCATTTTATTAAGGACACTTGCGTTGGGGTGCCCTAAAACGGTTGGCGTACGAGCCGTCGGGCGTTGTGTTCATTAGTTCATATAGTAAATACGCAAATCAAATGAAACTATTTTGGCGCGAAGTAATCGACCAAATGTTGTGTATTACACAGGTGGTTCAGTCGGTGGCGCATTAAAAACAATGACAAGTGGGCGAAGGAGATTGCACGCCCGCAAAGAACATTTTGAGATGCATTGCATGTGTATTTATTTCGCGAAGTCCTAAACGGACCTAAACTACATGCACGGACATGTTCATGTCGTAATCAATGAATAAGTTAGGCGAACAGAATTTGATTTTTTACTTCGGGCATCGTTTGTTGTACCTACATTAGCATGTAAAGCCGTGATGGCCTCGAATGATTTTCGATAATGACTTTAAAAATTCATCTATATTAATTATATAAACATACACACACATACATAATTTGGTTCATTCATTGAGACATTTACACACAATACAATCGAGCAGCGTTATCATATTTGGCCGATGTAGAAGCGAAAGTGTCACAAGCATCGCGAATTTTTGACCGAACAGACGAAAAGGTCCAAAAAACACACATTCTTGTGCCTCATTAATGAATATTAAAATCAAAAACCGCCACAACCGTGTTAGTTGTACTTGAAAGAGCTTTTAGAAGATTTGAGAAATGCAACCACCACAAGAATTGAGCCAGCCTTTGCCGTATTATTACATAAGTTTAGAAAGAAGAGTCTTGCCGCTGTCCGTTCGGGACATGTTAAATCAAGCAAGTAGCGTTAACATACGTGATTATTTGCGAATAAAAATAGGTCAGATGTTTAATTCGCACGCGATAATAGAAGCAGAATACTTTTATGATGTATTATGGTCTATTTTCATCTCACGCAAGGGGAAAATATAGTAACACATGATATTAAAGACGACCCGTAGTCATTTAATGAAGAGCATATAATTATAGAACAACGAATGAAAAAGAAATGTTCATAAATTTCTGAAAATATGTTGGATTCAAAGATAAAGAATCGCAGTCAAGAAATATTTACAAGACGTGTCGATTTTGTATAAATACCTGTCGGTTGCGTTCATCGCCGATTCGTGATATTTGGATCTTTTTCCTCCCCATTTAAAGAATATATTTTAAGCTTTTGTTATGCACGATGAGACCTATGAAAAAAAAGGTATTTACCATTAGACGAGCATGTTCCGCGTTGATCACAAGCGAGATACGTGTGTCATAATTTAATACTTGACGGGCTTCATTTCGACTCGTGGGATGAGTCATGTGCTCCGAAATGCACGAAAAAACGCGTGAAACGAAGTCATCGACACCTATCTGCACCAAATTTAGAAATTCAAAAAGTCGCAAATTTACACAGAAAGAACTCACTTAGAATTGTTTGTAACAAATTCTAATTGTTCGAACGAACTTCGAAATGTAACAAAATATTGACAAATACGTCTTTTAACGAAAGAAATATTGCCCCTTCCTGTAAACTTTCTTGCTGCGAACGGCAGTGTTGGAGAGTACGAATGTAAACATAACAATGTCGCGCGAAGATTATCAAAATAATGTTAGACAAACTTCGGTGATGCCTAGACCAGGTATCCGTCATCGTCGCCTTTTACGTTCCATAGGTTTGGAATAAATTATCGGCTGAATAATATTATACTTATTACTTTTGGGGCGTTATAATGGCCGATTTTAATGTGTACTAGGATTATTGAAATCGAAGTATAAATAGATCGATTGTAACTGCAACAAAGTATTGTTCAGCACGCGAAAAGCCACAAGCCTGCCATTCTAAACGGCGGATTTGACTTCGAATTAAGGGAAGTTGCAGGTTATGGTTTCCATAAAACTTTTCGACGAGAAGGCTTCGTCTTCGAAACGAAGCAGAATAAAGTAAGCTATCAACCTTTGACCCAGTTCGAAATATTTATAGAGTTAAAAATATCGACATCTAAAAGTGGAAACGCCGACTTTTATTAAACAGGAAAATCGAAGATGATTTTACACCAACACGAGTTCTTGAGAGGTCATAACAACAAATACAACGGCATTCGTAAGCATCTAAATTGGCTAAACCGACTGTATGGCTATAAACGAGTTTCGCCACAGAAGAGCAAAGTACGGAGTTCGTAGAAGGCAGAAAATTTAAATTTGAACGCAAGGGTTCGCTTAGAGTAAAGCACAAACTTTATCCTGCGACTCGCCTACGAATAGCCAATCGGTCAAATAACCCGTTCCTAAAATTTGCCTTTCGCTTTGTCGCATTGTATTTAATAACAACGCGTTGATATGAAGGAGACGAAGACATCTTCGACCTTCACCTACTTGATTCAGTATCGAGACGTGGATAATATCGAAATAGATACGAAAATGGAGAGGAATTTTATTGGCATTTCATCGCAGACGCATCTGGTGATCGTCACATACAAGACAACGAAACATCGTAGACAAAATACTGTCGGTATTCGTTTAACAAATACAACGAGGATTTATGGCGAATGTTTAAACTCTATTTATGACGGAAATAAAAATTCAGAAATCTATTTTTACCCACCAGTTAGAGCGTCCTTTTCCCAACAGCTGCAAGTGACAATATGTTCTATTTGTAGTAACACATAGTCTACAATATTGTCGTTTATGAACCGTATTTGCCCGAAGAAGATTCGCATTCCCCAGTCTCCCTTGTGATTCGTCCATTCACACCTTCCCTCTTACATGTAGTAAGAATTTTATATTTGATCAACAAATACTTAACGAAGTAAAAACAAAATAGGGTTTAACGGCTCATATTTCCAACTTTATGTTGCTTTAAGTTTTAATAAATATCTTAACTTTATGAAATATAATACAAAATTTTAACGAGTCCGGCAAAAGAAGGAATTGAAAGCCCGTTTTGAAGTGTTCAATATGGTCAATTCTTCCAACGTTACTTTCATTTCTTAATTTAAGGCTTACGTAACTTAGCTGGAGGCGGAATTTCTGGCCAATAAATGAAAAAGGTGTGGGGTGACGTCATCTCCGTTTAGTAAATCTGCCAATTTCCGCTTTAGATTGTTTTCTTCGGAGCTTTACGCCTTTTTGTTTGAAGGGGATAAAACAAAAGTATAATATTTAGATGTAATTTTTACATCTTTCTTAAGGGTCTTATGCTTAAGAATTGCTTAACCGATTTGTAAACAAAATCTTGGCCACAACCTTGATAGAAGCCATTAAAAATCATTGAGCATGACCTCAAGACTTATAAACACAATAAATATTTCGGCTCACACTCATTCACTCTTATTGATGAACAGTAGCATGCGGTGTTGTTTGTACGATATTGGGAGGTCTGGAAAAAGCCAAACTTTTACATAACACATCTTTTTTGATTGAAAGAATCAAGGACTTCCGCCTCGAAGATTATGGGCTTGTTCAAAAACTTTTTGTTATTTCACAAGAATGTTATAGCTTATAATTGCTGAATTTCACTATCGAGAGAAATTCGATAATCTTATGGTCGTGAACGTTATAAATTACAGGTTTCCAAGAAGAGAAATAAATAAGATCACAAAATACGACAAGCGTGGGAAGAATGACCTTAAACCCAGCCTGAGACGACACTGTGCATGAATACATTAGGAAGCTGAAGAGATGGGTAAATAAAGAAACAAATAAGATGGATGTCTTTGCAAACAAAAAGGTGAATGTCTTCGGAGACGGAGAACATGAACGCCTTAGGTAACAGAGAACATTTGTCACACAATAAGAACACGCTCTGAGATAGATAAAATCCTTTACATGCATTAATATGATTTGCATGCAAGATACAAACGAGTTTTCCCGCTCAAATGAAAAATCTCAAATGGCATGAGCTAAAATCACAAAAGAAACATGATCCAACACGAAAACTGACAGGTGGCACAATTGTCAATTGCAATTTAAATAACTGTTGATCGAAAGACGATTCACTTGAAGCATTTTGAAGTGCAGCTCAACTAAATCCCTCGGGCTTCGTTTTTTTTCATCTTTAAAAATGGTTTTAGTTGTTATTTCGGATGTAATATGGTTATAGATTTTGATATAATTGGTTATAGATTTGCTGTGAAATAAAATTTTAGGCAGTCGAAGACCGAATAAAGCTGAGAAGGTAAATTGAGCGCACTCAGTTCTGTAACTTAGTTCTGTAGCATTGTAAACGCAATTTCGGAAGATGTTGGTTACTATTGTGTTCATATGTATTGAATGTCATAGCCTTCGGCAATTTTATTAACAGGTTTGTATGATTTGCCGGGTTTACGCGAGTGCTGAAGTCGGCATGACAAAGCTTTGGATACCTGGGATCATTCACCCTCATTCTCGTGATCTTGAAATGCATAGCGTTTGAATATTTGCTTTAGAACAGAAGGAAAAACGAATTTTGCATTCAATCACAGGAAAATTATTTAACAAAACAACATTTAAACTGTCTTAATACGAGCTCGTTAGTTAAAAATGAAAATGAAAGACGTCAAGAAATTAAAGCACTCAACACAACAATTAAATAATAAAATTGTTGAGCGAACTAAAATGTATCAAAGCTCAGACCAGTGGAGAAAAATTATTGGTGGGGCTACAGAGCCCAGTAAGCCACCTTTCCCGGCACTCCCTGCTTGAAGTTAAGTGTTTTGAATTTCGGTACCTGTACACAAAGCAGATGTGTCGTAGCTCTCAGGTTGCAAATTTTTTTAGTTAGTTAAACCAAACTCGTTTTTTGTCATTTTTGTCATTCAAATTATTGTCATTCTTTTAGAATAATTGAATTCATCATTACCTGCAGGCAGTAGTTGTATATTCTCGTATTGAAAGTTCCTGGCTCCAAATATAAATGCCTTTTTCAGCCACGGCAATCTCGACAAAATCGAAAATAATTGTTGCTGGGCGAAAATATTATGCAATGAATTGATACGAGCTATCTTTGCTGGAAATATCACTTTTGCAAAAGCAATATTTCAATTGCCCCAAGTTTCTATGGAAGCGTATCGCTTCTTTATGAAGATTGCATAACTCCTGACTTAGTGACAAAGCAATACTGCAAATGACCATATCAGCGAAGCCAGGAAAAGTTTTTACATTCAAATTTTTCTGCCGCATGTGGGTGTCAATTACGGTGGCCGGAACGGGTCACCAGAAAAATAATTTAAAAAACATAACAAACAATAAGAACACTAATGATGACCGTGGGCAGGCCAGACCAGGTAAGACTGGGACGAATGTGTAGTGAGTATTTTGAAATGTGTAGCGAGTATTTTGAAATGTGTAGTGAGTATTTTGAAATGTGTAGTGAGTATTTTGTAATGTGTAGTGAGTATTTTGAAATGTGTAGTGAGTATTTTGAAATGTGTAGCGACTATTTTGAAATGTGTAGTGAGTATTTTGAAATGTGTAGTGAGTATTTTGTATTGTGTAGTGAGTATTTTGAAAAGTGTAGCGAGTATTTTGAAATGTGTAGCGAGTATTTTGAAATGTGTAGTGAGTATTTTGAAATGTGTAGCGAGTATTTTGAAATGTGTAGTGAGTATTTTGAAATGTGTAGTATGATTTTGAGTGATGTTTTCTTATTGTTTGTTATGTTTTCTAAATTATTTCTCTGGTGACCCGTACCGGCCACCGTAGTCAATAGCTGTCTATTATTTTACGAAGTGCCACTTAATTATGCGGGGGTCCTACTTATTTATGCGTGGTGCCTTCTTTATTATGAGCAGTGCTTCCTCAACCAGCTCTTTAACCGTACGAGGTGGCTTCTACATTACATGCGGTGCTTTCAGCATTTTAAGCGTGGTGGTTATACTATTTAAACGCGGTGATTTTGTCGATAAACGCGGTAGTTTGAATATGCGCATTGGTTCTATTATTACAAGCCAGTGGCTTTATTATTCGCAGCGCTTTCAACATTACATGCAGTGGTTTATAATCTTTATGTTGGGGCAAACCCGCAGTCTTGTTGTCTAGCAGCAGCATTAATTTGTAGATTTCCGTACATCACACCTATTCCGCATTCCCAAGTAAAAATGGTGTCTGATACGTTTGATATACCCGTTTTACGGATAATGAACTAAACTTAACCTCGAAATTCATTTTGAAGTATTTAACGCGTGGAAAATATTACCCAACATAGTAAATAAGTTTCAAAACTGAACTTTCAAAACTTGAAAATGCAAAGTGACGAAGACATTATGGCGCCCGACGCATTGAATGCATGATATTTGAATACATGGGATTATGACCATTCATTCAATTGTTTTTGTTAGATCTAAATTGAGGAGCTTCGACACCCCCCTGTTCTGAATTTTGCTATTTTATAAAGCAGGTAGCAGGGAGAGTCTAAACTAATCAGATTAAATCTAGTAATAAAATTTGGGGATTGCCAAACAAACCACATAGCTGCCCGGAATAGAAAATGTTCTTGAACAATTTATTGTTAAATGTAATTCATTTTTACTTTTGTATAAATAGATGATTATGAAGAAGCTAATTTAGTTGTTTTTCTGAAAATTTTGTGAATTTGGTCACAGAACTAGATTTTTGGAATTTTCATTCAGTCAAAATTAAGTACTTGCCTTTATTTTTCAAAATTCTTGAAATGTTTTCATCTTGAAGATTTTTCAGTTTAGAACGACCACCAGCAGATTGTTTTCGATATATTTTTTGGTGAATAAGGCACCTGTTTTTCACAGGATGCACACACTCATCAACCGTTTCAGTGAGACACAATACATCTATGATGAATTTTGTTAAAATATCGAACTATAAGTTAAAATGAATGGTTTAAACTTTGCTTTTCACGATTGCACTATCATTTTTTATAATAATTTGGGAAAACGAGCATTTTTTTTCAATTTTCGATAGAAAGGCACTTCCAGCCTAGTTTGCATATTTATCTAGGTTTTATAAAAACTTACGGAGCCACGATAGTTTCAATTCTGTTTCTTGTGCTTTAAAACTTAATCCAAATATTGATGCAGTTTACCAACGCTGATTGCAAAACCATATAATACAGTTAAACTACGTTATTAAGAAATCTTGCCACAATTTTTAACCTCCAGTCCACGATTTATTTTCTTATATAAAATTCAAGATGGCGGCAGCTTGTCGGGAATTTCCCTTCACTGTACTAAAGTGAAACATCCCGCAGGAACATCTTCGCAATTGCTCCTCTGCTCTTAAGAAAGTCTTTCACCGTTCAACCGCAATATCTGCCACTGCTGAGAAGTTTTTTTACACAGGAAACCTCAGGATTACGAGGTTACCTCGTTTGATGATCAGCAACACAATCATCATTCATGCACTGTCAGATTATTTACAAGACAGTCAGTAATGCTTCAATATCATAAACGTTTGGTTTATAACAAATGGGAGAAATTACAGTCATACTAAGACATAAAAATGTAAGTTGTGTTATATTGGAAGAACTTAGACGACAGAGTTTGTTTGAATAATACAAATTTTTGCTAAAACCATAAAAACGTTGCCAGCGAAAAACAAACTCTCAATAATATCAAGAAACTATCTGCCTGCAAAAATTTCAAGCAATGTATTTTATGAGTTTTACGAGAGTGATGTCCGCTATGTTGGTAGAATTCTCAAATGTTGAGTTATAGGATGAAGAAACATTACAAATTTTCTGTTAACAAAAGACGTTGATTTTTCACTTTTCAGCGTATTTTACTAACATAAATTTTTAAGACTGGCC